TTATGGGTTTTGAATGAGGGGCAAAGATAAAAAGTTGTTCTCCTATTGTTAGCCTGAAAAGGTCAAAATCTTAACAATTATGGGTCGATTTTGTAGAAAATAGTAAAAACCCACGGGAGTGTTTACTAAACGAATTACCAAATCTGTTTACCATGATTGTCAGATAATTTTTAGATGTTTTGAAAACTCTTCCTGTAAATTTGACCATGGGAGAAACTTAAATGGGCTTTTTGCATATATTTCTTTATGCGCATAGAGCTAGATAACCTATCATAAACCAAGCCGAATTTTGCTCTTGCATTTATTGTTCTTGGATGTTCACATTAGATTTAGTTTTCAATGTGAATTAACCAATATTTGGTCAAGGGAAAACATAAAATAATCAGATTTTTTAAAACAATTTGATAAATCTAAAAGAGCTAATATTTGAGTAGTGTGGCCCTGATGTCCAAAGCCTTTGATATTTCAAACTATGATTAACTATAATTAATTTCGAGTCAGCCTCTATGCAAAGAAGAAAATGTACGATTTACAACGGTACCCTTGGTAATTACATGAGATATTTATGTTTTTGTTTATTTAAACTGTTTATTTTCATTTGTTGTTTATCTGAACAAGTCACTTGCGCATTTCTTGCTGATAGAAACAATGAAGAAATTCACAGAATAAACCCTTTTCCGAGTCAGAAAAACAATTCTACATTTTTGATCAGATTCAGGTTTGAAGGATACCGTTGTAAATCGGACACTCTTATCTTCGCATTAAGGGTTGTTTTAAATTACGCTTACAGTCCTTTTTTAAGTTTTTTTAAGTTTTAAATTATACGAAGATTAAGATTTATCTGCAGGATGTTGACAGAATTAACTAAATCCACTTGAGCATGTCAAGTGTTCAGGTGGTTCCGGAGGAAGTAACCCTGTATACCGGATCCAGGGGAACCTCTCCATCTGCTAGTTCCGGAGATTTATCCAACCTTCACCTGTAGCTCCAGGTACCAGTATTCATACAGGAATAGTTCATGCATAGCGAGCCGTAAACGGTTTGGTTTTCATTTTACTACCAGTGGACATCAGAGAGAATATACAAGATTAAGACAGGATATACAATAATAAGACAGGAAATACAAGAATAAGACAGGGTATACAATAATAAGACAGGATATACAAGAATAAGACAGGATATACAATAATAAGACAGGATAAGCAATAATAAGACAGGATGTACAATAATAAGACAGGATATACAATAATAAGACAGGAAATACAAGAATAAGACAGGGTATACAATAACAAGACAGGATATGCAAGAATAAAACAGGATATACAATAATAAGACAGGATATACAAGAATAAGACAGGATATACAATAATAAGACAGGATATACAATAATAAGACAGGATATACAATAATAAGACAGGATATACAAGAAAAAGACAGGAAATACAATAATAAGATAGGATATACAAGAATAAGACAGGATAAACAAGAATAAGACAGGATATACAATAATAAGACAGAATATACAAGATTAAGACAGGATCCACAAGAATAAGACAGTGTATACAATAATAAGATAGGATATACAGGAATAAGACAGGATATTCAAGAATAAGAGAGGATATACAGGAATAAGACAGGGTATACAATAATAAGGGATATACAGGCATAGGACGGATAAACAAGAATAAGAAAGGATATACAATAATAAGACAGGATATACAATAATAAGACAGGATATACAAGAATAAGACAGGATATACAAGAATAAGACAAGATATACAAGATTAAGACAGGATATACAAGAATAAGACAGGATATACAGGAATAAGATAGGATATACAATAATAAGATAGGATATATAAGAATAAGACAGGATAAACAAGAATAAGACAGGATATACAATAATAAGACAGAATATACAAGATTAAGACAGGATCCACAAGAATAAGACAGGGTATACAATAATAAGATAGGATATACAGGAATAGGACGGATAAACAAAAATAAGACAGGATATACAAAATAAGACAGGATATACAAAAATAAAACAGGATATACAAGAATAAGACAGGATATACAATAATAAGACAGGATATACAAGAATAAGACAGGATATACAATAATAAGACAGGATATACAAGAATAAGACAGGATAAACAAGAATAAGACATGATATACAAGAATAAGACAGGATATACAATAATAAGATAGAATATACAAGAATAAGACAGGATAAACAAGAGTAAGACAGGATATACAATAATAAGACAGGATATACAGGAATAAGACAGGATATACAGGAATAAGATAGAATATACAAGAATAAGACAAGATATACAAGATTAAGACAGGATATACAAGAATAAGACAGGATAAACAAGAATAAGACAGGATATACAAGAATAAGACAGGATATACAGGAATAAGATGGAATATACAAGAATAAGACAAGATATACAAGATTAAGACAGGATATACAGGAATAAGATAGGATATACAAGAATAAGATGGAATATGCAAGAATAAGACAAGATATACAAGATTAAGACAGGATATACAGGAATAAGATAGGATATACAAGAATAAGACAGGATATACAGGAATAAGATAGAATATACAAGAATAAGACAAGAAATACAAGATTAAGACAGGGTATACAATAATAAGACAGGATAAACAAAATAAGACAGGATAAACAAGAATAAGACAGGATAAACAAGAATAAGACATGATATACAATAATAAGACAGGACATACAAGAATAAGACAGGATATACAGGAAAAAGACAGGATATACAAGAATAAGACAGGATTTATAATAATAAGACAGGATATACAATAATAAGATAGGATATACTAGAATAAGACAGGATATACAATAATAAGACAGGATATACAAGAANATAGATAGATAGATAGATAGATAGATAGATAGATAGATAGATAGATAGATAGATAGATAGATAGATAGATAGATAGATAGATAGATAGATAGATAGATAGATAGATAGATAGATAGATAGATAGATAGATAGATAGATAGATAGATAGATAGATAGATAGATAGATAGATAGATAGATAGATAGATAGATAGATAGATAGATAGATAGATAGATAGATAGATAGATAGATAGATAGATAGATAGATAGATAGATAGATAGATAGATAGATAGATAGATAGATAGATAGATAGATAGATAGATAGATAGATAGATAGATAGATAGATAGATAGATAGATAGATAGATAGATAGATAGATAGATAGATAGATAGATAGATAGATAGATAGATAGATAGATAGATAGATAGATAGATAGATAGATAGATAGATAGATAGATAGATAGATAGATAGATAGATAGATAGATAGATAGATAGATAGATAGATAGATAGATAGATAGATAGATAGATAGATAGATAGATAGATAGATAGATAGATAGATAGATAGATAGATAGATAGACTAAGGAGTCAATTTTTGGTCTAGCTAATACAATTAAGTTCTAAAAATGGTAATTAAACGTTAGTTTCAAGAAACTGAAGCTAAGAGTGTCTAATATTGATAGATTGATAGATATACTAGACTTAATCTAGTTTTATTTAGCAATCCAGTTCTTTTATGCAACCAAATCCAGGTGTAGCAGTACCTGGAGAACCCACTCTATGTGTCCTTTCTTATCCTGGAGATATGTAACCGTCCTGGTTTAATTACTCAATGTTACCGTTTCACCAGACAATGAAAACCAGTAAGATTCGTTGGTAAAATTAATCAGTTTCATCAAATCAAATCAAAACTATGTTTTGTCTCACAATGAAATAATAAAATTCAGAATCAAAATTTCATATTTTTTCAGAAAAAAGAAACAAATATTTATTTTCTCATTTGTTTCAGTCAGCTGCTAAAAAATGACATCTGTTGGTGGTACACATTTTTACTACAGAACAAAATATTTTTTTCCAATGATTAATAAATAAATTTAGTATCATATAATTTAAACATTACATCAACGCATTATTTTAGCGGAATCGGAAAGAAAGATTGATCAGAGAGAAGTTTAAGGGACAGTAAGCAAAGAGAATAAAATATATATTAGAGTGGAATTTACTAGAAAAAAGTGTAAAACGGCCATTTTGTTGTACTGTTTCCATATTGCAGGTGTATTTCATATATTTGTGCTACATAAACTTTTGGGCCCTGGAATATCATTTTATAGAAAATATAAAATTAATATTAAAAGAAAACCAAATTATGAAATTGGCTAGCTTCATAACTGACCAATAATCATTTCACATAGACTCTATGCCTTTCACTTTACAAACGATGATTTTCCGTTATAACTATAAATCAAATGATGTTTTTATTCACCTAATTCATTTTATAAAGTTTATTTAACAGCTTTAAAAAATTCGAAATTGAAATGGATAGTCTAGGGAACATACTGTATTAATGTACTATACATTTACATGATTTGTGAACATTTACATGATTTGTTCACTTTGAACTCCTTTTCAGGCTGAGAGGGACTAACAAAATTCAGACCTAGGGATTTTCTAAATTCCACTCTAATATATATAATATTCTCTTTGCCTTTAACCCTTTCATCGAGAGAAGTCCGATATCATTTATCATAATTGGATTGACATATGATATTACTTTTACAGTACCTTTAAGTTGATAGATATTCAAAGATATTCTAAAACTCAAGGAGAATTGAATAGTAGGAGGGGGCAATTGGGTTTCCGTACACTTTGCTGTGACGTTTTTGGACTGCTGAAGAACTTATTTTTGCGTAACAACAATAACAAGGGCAGCCGATCTAGTGTAAACAAACATGAGTTAGTATACGGAAAATCTTCATCTAACGCCAGAGATGCACCAGATTGTTGTACAGATTAGATTTAGTTCATAGAGGATAATCTTTTCTAAACCTCGTTAAAACCTCTTTAATGAGTCAGAATAATTCAGTACATTCACTGGTAGAGAAATACTGCCATGCAATAAATTTGTACAATCCTTTATTTCAATATAAAATGACAAATAAACAAATAATCAACCTTTCCAGGGGGGTTGTCGTGGTCGTCATCTCAAGTGCTTCTGTACTCCAGGCTCTCAGTACGCAGACAGTAGAAGTATGAAGGGAAGGAGGAGAAGAGAGGAACGGCCAGTCTAACCTCTTCCAGTGATTCTAAATAACAGAATAAATATAAATTTGTTTGTTTCTCGTTAGAGGGTAATGGTTTTTGAATGGACCTGTATTTACTATCGAACTCAGCTCTATAAAACTTATAATAGTGCAAAGAAATATGGACGTTTGAATATGTTTTCATGAGAAGATGAGTGTATCAGATAATTATATACCTGAATATTAATTCTGATATCAGAGTAGCACCGCAGGTTAGTGCAAACTGAAGTATGTGAATCAGTTTAATTGTTGTACAGTGTACAGTGTACACTGTACATATACCGGTTTACAATCAGGATTCTATAGGCCGATTTCTTAGTCCTAGAGTTGTACCATTGGTTGAACCTTAGGTTTTTTAACTATAGTAGAAATGGCTTACTATAGTTGATTTTCAATTGGATTTCTTAGTCATTTATGCAACTTCGGTTGTGTTGATTTAAACCATGGTAAATGAAACTACAGGTTTCTTGGTCATACAACTTTAAACTATGGTAAAGTCCCAATTGTGAATCAATGCGCATGCGTGATTTTAAAGTGAGTTATCAGTGCGCATGCATGGATTTTCAAGTAAAATTACATATCGTCTTTGATTCTTTTTGCCTTAATTGTAGAAGGATTTTAATTCGTTAACTACAATGCATGTCGTCTTCTTTTTAATTACTTTAATTAGATAAGGATCCTTAACCAACCTGTGATATAAAAGATTTTACTTGGGGGGGGGGGGGCAAAGCCCTGTTACACAGCCAAAAAGTGTATCTTAAATTTAATTTCACCCCACTATACTTCATGTTCAATTTTTTAAAACTTACAATTTTCGCATTACACAATCTGAAAAAAAAACATAAAAAATATATTTAAAGGAATGATTCCTTTTTAGTTTCATGTTTATTGTTTTGGAGTTCTTCTGAAATTATTTAGTTACTTGCTTTGGAACCCAGTCGAAATCTGCAAGGCAAATCGGTAAAGGGATTCCTGACAAACAGACAGACAAACAAACTGAATTCACAACTTTAAATTCATAAATTTCAGATGAACAGACTCAACAATAATTTATTTCTTGATCTGTATGATGATGATATCGATGATTTGGATGAAGTTGGCGACCTTGAAGATGTCCTACTTGTTGCTGGTCTAAACCCTAGGCCACGGAGAGCTGCTGTATGGTCTAGAATATATTAATTATAAAGATCAATTTTAGTAACATACAATCTGAAATCAATGGAAAAGGAAGACGACTTTATAGTCATACCTAGTGTATTTGATGTATGATGGGCATATTTAAACATTTGCATGGAAAAATACAGAGCTACCCACAAAGAATGAAACTTAAGTGCAGCTGTACTGAATTTATTTTGTGTTCTTGTTATATTTTAATTTTTTTTGTTACAAAAATTTCCACATGAACATTTACAATCAAAATTAGGGTACCAAAAATGTATGATTGGGCATATTTCAACATTATGCATAGAGACAAACAGGGTTACCCACAAAGAATGAAACTTCATTGTAACTGTCTCATATTTATTTTGTGTTCTTGTTATTTTTGAATCTTATTAATTTTTGTTTGTATAATACCATCAAAAAATTATTTAAAGACTAAATCTTAAAATAAACCTTTAAATCAGTTTAAATTCATCGAATTCCAGGTCAGCATTAAACTCTCATCCTTTGTTGGTATCCCTGTACAGTTTAAGTCTACTTCCATTACATTGAACATTTCAAACACACGAGAATTCAAAACAAGGTACAGATTTGATCGGGATAATGTTCAAAGAATTACCAACTTATTGACTCCCTACTTGAAGCATCATACTACAAACAGGGGCCTACCCTGTTCACCATTGCAGACTGTGTGCCAGGGGCTAGAGGTTCTGTCCGGAGGGCGATGTTTTCGAGTGTCTGGTTATGGAACTTGACTTTGTACTGCAACCTCTTGGAGGAATGTTTACAGGTAAGAAAAACTTCAACGTCATCATGTTTAACGACACACACTCTATACTTAAAATTTAAGGTTTGTAGATGCTCTACTGGTGCCAGAGATAAGAGGTGAATTCCTCTACATGCCCTCCCCACTTCAGCAGAACATGAACATACGAGATGTGGATAACAAGTACAAGCTGACTAATGTCATTGCAGGTGTGGACGGGTCTCATTTCCCATTTGGGCAATAACCACAGGGGATTCCAGCTGGGAGAACTCACATGGATTTCATAAATCGGAAAGGAGCTTATTCAATAAACTCGCAAATTTTTGGGGGATTTATAGGCGAATATATGATATTTTGTGCCAAGCTCCTGGATCTTTTCATGATGCTGCAATTTGGGGACAATCAGATGTTCTAGCATGGTTCCGTACAGAATTCCCTCACAAATTTATACTTGGAGACAGTGCTTATCCCTAATCTGAGTTTCTGATGACACCATATTCTGAGCGGGAAGTCAGACTGGATGACATGAAAGCCTTGTTTAATATTAGACACTCTGGTGACAGAGTAGATGACAGAGAATATTTATGGCATGCTTAAACAGAGATTTCCGATTTTTAAATTTTTACATTTTAATCTTAATAATGCAATAAGATAATAGATGCCTGTGCTGCGCTCCACAACATGGCACTTGATTTTAATGATGAAGTTCCACAGTATGACCATCCTGACTATGTTAACCAGTCAGAGCTTGATGATCGGTGGTAAATGACCTACCACTTGACCAGATGAGAGGGTTAGGATGTCCAGACAGAGATAACTGGATGGCTACTATGTGGACCAGGCCGACCGCCAGGGAGCAGATTGCTACAGCCAACCACAGATTAGAGGCTGAATTTAGAAGAAGTCAAAGAAGTTTGTGTAATTCATCATGAGGATTAATTAAAATATATATTTTTTCTTAAATAAGTTTTAATTTAATTTCTATTACAGTTTAAAACTTGTTTCAAGAACAAAAACAAAAACAAAAAAATTTAAATCAATTTTATTGAATAATGTTCAAACTTGGCTTGTTTGTTTTGTCCTGAAAGTATACCAGGGTATATATTTTCCTGATCAAACAAAAAAATTCCCTTTTTAAATGTTTGATTTTTTACACCCCTGAAAAAGTTATTCTTGATACAAACCTTCAAAACAGACAAAAAAGAATCTCCATGTTTTTGGCTTCTTTGGCCATTTTACAAGCATGCAATTCTTTCTCATTAGCACGCCGTTCGTTAACTAGGGCCATTTTGCAGGCATGCAGTTCTTTCTCATTCTTTCTCTGGTCACTGAGAAGTGCCAATTCAACCTTCTCCTTCTCCTGTTTCAGGATAATCAGCTCATCATTACGATGATGAAGCATTGCTGTAAACATAAAAGAATTTAAACAATGAGACAAATAAAATCATATTTAATGTATAAATTACATTTAACATTTAACATTTTACATTTTACATTTTAAATAACATTTTCTGAATATTTTCAGCTGCACCTGCAGTGATTTCCTCACTTCCAACAGGAACCGCCCTTTTTCGAGATCCTAAATAAATGTTTGCAAATAGAGTGAGACCTATAAAACTCTGAAATAAGAAGACAACTTTTAGACTCAGGTTAATGGTTTTTGGTTCTCATGTATATGTTATGTTATTTGATTTGATTTTAGTTTAAATGTTTTTTTTGGGGTCTCATGTTTATGTTATATCATGTCATTTAAGCTTTAATCATGTTCAAGAAATGATGACTATGCATATTTACCTCTCATTTCTGATGAGCCAGAATTTACATCATGAACTGGAACAGTAACACTAAATATAGTAGAATTAGCAGAAACATCCGCAGAATTAGCAGGAATACTGTTTACGGTAGAATTAGCACTATATATAGAAGTATAAGGAACATCAGCAGAATTTTCTGGAACATCAGCAGAATTATCTGGAACATCAGCAGAATTATCTGGAACATCAGCAGAATTATCGTTGTAATCGTTCAACATGTCCAGTTCCAGTGACCAGTTCCTGGCCTGAGTACTTAGGTTGTTGTACTGTGTGTTGTGCACTGATAATGATCAGGGATGTATAATCTAAAAATTCCCCCCCCCCCTTTCATCAAAAGTAATGTTTTTTTGCGGGTTTTTGATAGCCTTTTCCTACAAAAAATCATTTGTCTTGTAAATTTAGCAAAAAAACTTAACATTCTTTCAAAGAAGGGGGGGGGGAGAATTGCAAAGAAAAAATACATCCCTGCTTTAGGTCTTGTCACAGAGCGTTCTGGTGACACATTTATCAACGTCACAACTTACTCTGAATGATAATTGCATAAAAATAGGGAAAAACCAGATTTTGAAAATTCAGTCTCATTATAAATTCTAATAAAAATTAAGCATGTTTTTGCTATTGCTGAACTCACATTTTAAATAATGTTATAGAAACAATTGAAGAAAACATGATTAAACCTTTTAGCATTATGCATTATTCATTGAAACCCAAATAAATTAGCTTCTGCCACTGCAGCAGCAACAGTGTCTGCAGCTGGAGCAGAAACAGAGGTTACAGTAGCAGAAACAGCTGTTCCCTTATACACGTTAAAGCTATTTCCAATGGTAATTCCTGTTATCAGCCCATATCTATTTCTGAGCTCTTCCGTGGAGTTACTATAATTGCAAAAATTATCTTTACTTCTAAATGAAAATTCTAACTTCAAAATTTTTTTTTAATTTGTTGATAAATTACCTTTAGTTTGAATATTTAGTGACCCTATGATTCACAACAATTCCCTTGAAACCTTAATTTGAACAATGTAATCAGCCAAAGCTTGAAGAGTACCATTGTGAATTGAACATACTATTAAAGATGTGTCAGCTTAAATAATGTTTACATTCCCTTTAAATTTAAAAATTAAATTTGTTCTGGATTAAGAGAGGGGACATCTGGAATCCCTGGACCCCCTTCAGTAGTCATCCTGTACTTCTTAACTATGTTGGTCTCTTTCTGAAACTTTGTTTAGAGCCTCCATCCGGGCAATGTTTTCATTCTGGACGTCTTTCCTGAACATCTTCTCAGGAGTTTTATGCATGCTTAAAACAAAGAACATTCATTTAAGGAAGTAAGGTAAGGTAGTTGAACTGAGTATGCAATGTTTGAGACATATTAAACTTGCATGTTAAAGATCTGTAAATCCTGAGTTGGAGCGCAAATTCGACATTCAAAACTCATACTTTGGGGGTGGATAAGTTTTCAGAATCGGTTTTTTAAAATTATTAAATAACAACGACTAAAAATGTTAACAAAACTCTACAGTAAACTAATTAGTTGTTTAGGAATTTCTATTGAGAAATATGTTCCTAACCATCTAATTAGATTTTTTTATTTTTCGTTGTTGTTATTTAATGATTTAAAAAACTAATTGTAAACTAGGAAATTACCTAGTTAATATAAAGTTTGAAAAAAAAGTTGAAAACATTAATATCTAATATTGTGCTTTTAAATCGATAAAATAAAATAACTCACTTGGATCATTTCTCCTTAAACTACCTGAACGTTACCCAAAACTTCTGCGTCAATTCCCATTGTAAAAACTCATGGTATGCCCATGACCAATAGCACTTCAGAATCATAGAGCAGCTTTTCTGAACAATTAAAGTGGTGATAGATTTATTAATTCATTTACACTAAACAATCGATTAGTTGATGGATAATATATTACACATTACCTGAACGAATGTGGGCTCACTAAGGAGTTTATTAAACATCCCTTCATGCACAGACAAGATCACTTGATTAAGTTTGTCGACAGCATCAGTACTCCACTTTAAACTTGGTCTGGGATCTAAAAGTATACATAAATACATCGAACAATCCACAATAATAAAGTTTTTTAACTCTATAATGTAACAAGTCCCTAATCCCCCCACCCAGCACATTTGAGTAACCCTCCACGCCCACCCCCTAATATATTGAAACATATAAGATAATATATCAATTTTAAATTGTGTTTTTTTTAGCTGAATAATATACCTCCAGGTTGATAAGGACAGGGTATGGGTGTAAGTGATGACGAATATTGTACAATGTGCATCTAATGTTTTTTATATTCCGAAATCTTAGTATTTAATTCATTTGTTTTTTAAATCTAAAAAAAATAAAGTATGACTAAAGTTCCACATGTATATGAAAAATATCTTTCCCTTATATATCGGAAATACTCTGCTATGAATACGCACAGAAAAAGGTTTTTATTATNTTTATTTCTGCTATCAGATGAGATCTATATATTTCATTTTGCTATCTATCCAAATTCCTTTCAGAAGACGACATAATTAAAAATACTAAGGTTCAACCACAGTCAACTGATTTTACCTATGGTTGAACCCTAGTTGCACCTGGGTTATCTCTACCTAAGGTTAAATAACCATAGGTTGAACTCTACTTGATGTTACTTTTGTGTTTAAGAAATCCGAACATGGGTTAACCATAGTGTAAATGACGTTGTACCTATGGTTGAACCTATGGTAGGGCCTTTAAGAAATTGACCTTTTATTTTGTTAAAGGGTTTCCTCTTTTTTGAAAACTAAACTTTATTTTGTTGAGACATTCCCGTTTTTTTAGGCTTTTCCGCTTTTTTTGAGGTATTTCCGTTTTTTGAGGCATTTCCGTTTTTTTAAGGCGTTTCCGTATTTTGAAAAAACTATTTTGTTGAGGCGTTTCTTCTTTTTTTGAGGCGTTTCCGCTTTTTTTGAGGCTTTTCCGTTTTTTGAAAGAAGTTTTAAAACTTTATTTTGTTGACGTTTCCTCTTTTTAAGGCGTTTCCGTTTTTTTTTTGAGGCATTTCCGTTTTGGAAAAAAAGATTTTAGACTTTTTAGCTGAGGCGTTTCCTCTTTTTTGAGGAGTTTCCGTTTTTTAAAAAACTTTTTAATTTAATTGTTGAGGCATTTCCTCTTTTTCCGTTTGTTAAAATAAAACTTAGTTCCTTTCTTTGAAAATCTTTCCCCCTTTCCAAAATAATTAATCTCCTCCCAGAAATCTAACACCTTGAGGTTTCAAAGAAATAGGGATTAGAAAAAATGAGAAACAATTTAGGGTTTTAATAGCTGAATTTTTGGGTCAAAACTAAAAATCAAATGATGAAAATTTGCCTGTTAATGCATTCCATGCATCTTTTTGGTAATTTCCTAGAAAATTGGTAATTTTATTCAATGCAATAGATGGCGTTTCTATTTAAGTTTTAATTTATATCAATGTTATTAAAAATGTCTGTCTGATTGGTAATGTTACAACGTCTATACGCAACATCCTCTACCAGGCCCGTAACCAGGGGGAGGGGGTGCAGGTTCTTCTGAAACTGGGTGCAATGACGAATTTGCACCCCCCCCCAGTCCCATATAAAAGAAATTGTTTCTCATAATTTTCTAAAATCTAGTTACCGATAATATAGCTCAAGCAAGAGTTGATTCCCTTTCCAAACCAAATTATAATCTTATTGTGTAATAGCCATTTTTGGGAGTTTCAAAAATATTATTTTAAGCGAGGATATTTATCATTTTCAGTCAAAGTAGAAGGGTTTTTTGAGTACTCAAAAATTCACTAAGAATGTCTCAATGTCAAATAATAATCTCTAAGCAAAATATTAACAATTTTATTTTTTATTTATCTTCATAATATCATGATGAGGCCGAGGGACAAGAAGCCTTGATTTTAAAAAATAAATTTTTTCCTTAAGCTAAAGTACCATTCATTTATTTTTTTATGTATATTGTATATGTAAACTGAAGTTTCATACACTAAAATGTAACCCTTAAAAGCTTAAATACACTTGTTAAAAAGGTTAGTCTTAATAGCGTACATTGACAATGTAATAAAGAAGTCAGATATGTACACTTAAACTGTTTTAGGTCGGATGTACACTTTTTGTAGGTCGGATTTACAATTTTCATAGGTAGAATGTATACTTTTCGTAGGTCGGATGTACACTTTTTTTAGGTTCAATGTACACTTTTTGTAGGTCGGATATACACTTTTTGTAGGTCGGATGTACACTTTTTGTAGGCAGGATGTACACTTTTTGTAGGCAGATGGTACCATCAATAGTAGGTTGGATGTATACTTTTTGTATGTCGTATGCACAACTTCTGTAGGTCAGATGCACACTTTTTATAAGTTCCCAAGTAACAAAAGTGAGTAATTTCCCCAGATTCTCCAACCGTGGTGACTTTTTTTTGAAAAATTTTGAGGAATTTCTCGAGAATCCTGTAACTGATTCCTCGGAAATTCTAGAAAAATTCCCCAGAAGTGGTCCCTAAGAGGATAGATTTTTGTGGGATCACAGTTTTGAGAAATTCTGAAGAAATTCCCAGGAATTTTCCCCTACAAAATTCCTCAGAATTTCTCTGGAATCTGGAAATTCCTGAGAATTTTTTTTTAAAAGTAAACACCTGAATAATGTGTGGAAATGTCTCAACTTCATGTGTTTGAAAAGTATTTAATGAAAAAACGGAAACGCCTCTAAACTGTTCGGAAAAATGTGCGGAAATGTCGCAACTTTTTGTGTCGTTTTAAAAGCCTTTTTAAAAAACCAGAAAAGAAATTTTGGAAAAGTCTCCTCTATAATCAAAGTAAGAAGTTATCTAAAAAGACAAACTCTTCCAAAAATTCTGGAAACCCGTAAAGAAAAAGAGAAATCGACTCTACTAATTGAAGCTTTGAATTTTTTTTTTAAACAAACTCGTCAAAATAAAAAAGTTAACACCTCAACTAAATGAAGTTTTTAAAAAATACGGAAATCCTCAAATATTTTGCGGAAACGCCTCAAAAAAAAATAGGAAAAACCTCAACTAAATTAAGTTTATAAAAATATGGAAACCACTCAAAAATTTTGCGGAAACGCCTCAACTAAATGAAGTTTTGAAAGTTTTTTTCAAAAAACTGAAGCGCCTCAAAAAAAGGAAAGGCCTCAACAAAATAAAGTTTTAAAAGTTTTTTTCTAAAAACGGAAACGCCTCAAAAAAAAGGAGACGCCTCGACAAAAAAAGGTTTAAAAGTTTTTTTTAAAAACGGAAACTTCTCAAAAAAAGAGGAAACGCCTCGACAAAATAAAAAATTGAAACGCCTCAAAAAATAAAACTGAAACGCCTCAAAAAAAAATAGGAAACACCTCAACTAAATCAAGTTTTTATAAATACAGAAACGCCTCAAAAAATTTTGCGGAAACGCCTCAAAAATATTGGGAAATCCCTCCAAAATATTGGGAAATTCCTCAAACTGGGGTTTGAGGGATTTCCGTCGGGTGAAAAACGGAAACCCCTCAAAAAATTTAGGAAACTCCTCAGACTGGGGTTTGAGGGATTTCCGTTTTTCTTGCAGAAATTGCGGAAACGTCTCAAAAAAACCGGTTTTTGAGGGGTTTCCGCTTTTTTTGAGGCATTTCCGTGTTGAGACATTTCCGTGTTGAGGCGTTTCCATAGCACCCTGGGGAGGGGGGGCGGCTAAAAGCCAATTATCCCCCTTCCAAATTCCGCCGGACCATCTTTTTTATCGAAAGATAACCAAGTGGGTAATTAAATCAAATGGAATCCTCTTCAATATCTCGGGTCTGTCCTAATCTTTTTTCATGACCACTTATTTTGCAGCAAAACTACTATCACATTTTTTAATATTTTAGAGAAGACTATTTCTGGGCCGAGCGGCGGCCGGGCACTGCGGCCACATGATAATTATATCCATCTGTTGCATAGAAACACCATGTAAAAAATTAATGGGAGGGGGGTACAAAATCGTTCTCCAGGAAATTTCTCGTATTGTATACCAATGCATAGAATTCATCGTATTCACTATTTTTTAAAATTTTCCTTTCGCTTCAGTTTTTACACTCTTTAAATTTAAATCGTTGCTTTGATGTCAATGTAAATTAACAAAATGATCTTTTACTCAATTTTGATTATTAGTGAATAATGTTTTCTTGTTAGATCTTTTTAAAACTCAATTCCATCTTTTTTAAACGCAATTCTAGAATCAATTAAAGGACTAAAATTAAGCCTTATATTTTTAGATTTTTGGCTCGACGAACTGATGCAAAGTTCAACAAGATTGTTCTTCGTCGCCTTTTTATGTCTCACCCTAACAGGTATTCTACAATTTCTTAATTGTCTTCCTTTTGGTTGTAAATTGATTTCACGATTAGTGTTCTCTTTTTCAACATACTGGCTAGAATCTGGGAGAATTTCTAGCCAACTGGTAAATTTACAATCTACATGATGCTATTCATGCGCGCCATATGAGATCTATGTCTAGTTTTTTGTTTGAACCCATGGAACAAGTTCTTTGTTTCATGTTGTGAGAACTTAAATCAGGACGTGATCACAGGATCTTAATCTGTTACCCCTGATACTCTAGAAATAGAGACCTGGAAGTTATTAAGCATATTCAATCCACTAATAAGTACATTTTAGGCCCCCCTTGTCGTTGGCTCGTATCACAAGGAATCTGAAGCAAGATGGAAACCAAGGGAAGACTGTGGTTGTGGTTGGGACGGTTACCAACGATCTTCGTATTTTCGATCTACCAAAGATCAGCGTGAGTCACAAATTTGTAGTCTTCAACAAAGAGCGAGGGCTTCACCGCTCGACAGAGTCCTTTAGCGAGGGCGAGGGGTTTTTAACCTCGACTTGAGTTCTTTGTTGTTAGGCGAGGGAAAGTAATTTCTCGATAATTTTGTAAATCTTGGATCAGGTAGAAAAATGTAGAAATATATTTAGAAGTCTTCTAAAAGTAACTGGTAAATATTCCTCGAAAAATTTGTTAAATGAAAGTTCTCACATGCACAGGGTTTTTCTTATCAAATAGTTTCCCCCTCCCTCTTTTGAACATTATATTTAACAGTGCCTAGGATCCGGACCCGTTGTTTCCACAAGATTTTGGCTTCCTGGATCCGGATCCGTACAAATAAGTGGATCCACGGATCCGGATCCAAGGGGGAAATATCAACAAAAGCTGCTAAAAAAATTACCCTCAAATCCCACATCTGAACTATCGAAAACAACAAATAATAAAAATTTCCTGATTTTTGAATGGTTTACAAGTTTTAGTTTTAGTAAGCGAAAATTGTACAAAATTTTATGGAAATAACCTGTATCCGGATCCAGATTTGGATCCTGATTCATTTTTTCCGCACCAAAATTAAATTAATCCTAATTCACCCAATTTGTTGCTGCTACTGTATTCCTGGGGTTCCTAGCTTTCGTTTGATATGCATAAAGCCATAGTTAAAACATTTTCATTTAAAATATACTTATTAAAGGAAATAAATAAAGTTCAGGATTGAAAGTATTTATTAATGGAAACCTTTCAAACTATCTTTTCAATTTTTTCTAATATTGTTTTATTTAGTTGTGTGCACTGCGCGTGACCGAACAGGCTAGAGCACGCATTCTAGCGGCCGGAGGAGAGATTCTGACCTTTGATCAGCTAGCGGTCAGAGCTCCACTGGGTCAACAGACCCTACTGTTGCAAGGTAAAAACTACTTTTATCATCTATCTAACAGGAACCATTCAAAACCCTCCACCCCCTGGAATAAAGATTTTGACAATTTGAAAGCTCCTTGCAAAAAATGAACAAGTTAATATAAAAAATGGTTATTATTGTAAATTTCAATCGCGATTTTTACGAACATTCCCTTGTTCACTTGATTTTAAAGATTGTAGTTTTGAAATCAGATGTTTTGATTTTTTAATCTGATTCTGAAAAGAAAGTCGGCTTAAACCAAAACATTTGAATAAATCTCCGATTTTAGAGCTGATTTAAGACGCGGCTCTAATACATTAAAGTCTGACACAGATCTAGATCCTGACACAGCTTATCAATATGTTTTAATTGTACTTATTTATCATTTGAAGAAAGATTTAATTTGTATCTTACACTCGTAAAAGTTTTAATGTCTATGCATGCCAATTACACTGCCAGCCTAAGTGAATTAAAAATATTTCGTGAAATTTTCATTTATAAAAATGTCAATTGTTGTCCAGGATGTCGGAAAGCACGCACTGCTGAAAGAAAGTTTGGAGCTGCTGGTCGTCCAGGTGCGCACGTGAAGCCCCTAGTGCGCGCTAAGGGACGAAAGTTCGAGAGTGCTCGAGGTAGAAGAGAGAGCAGAGGATACAAGAAATAGAGAATGTTTCTAAATTCGAAATAAACCAAGATTTTCAAATACATGAATTTTTTTAAGATTGGGCACAGTTACGTTTATGGGCTCGACAATTTAAGTAGATGATACTTATGTAAATCTGAGTGAATATTTAAGTTTTAACCTAAAGTGTTCGCTCATTTGCAAGGTTGACGACATTAGATTTGAGAGGAAATAACTTAAAGCTTTTTTTCTCTGTGATGCATTTTAGATCCAAGACGCAATTTATTTATCAATAATTTGGAATGAATTATAGAGGAGATGAATAATGCACGACTAGAGTTTCCATTTTTTTCGGGTGAATTTTTTAGCTCTGGGGAGAGCAGGGAAGGTAGACTGCCAAAACCTCAGCATGTTTCCCCTCCTTTCGTAGATTTTTTGTCTTCTGAAAGCCATGAGCCACAACCGTACGGTCTTCTATGTCACTGCATTTGTTTAAAATAAAATAATGCAAGATTCAAAAGTGGAATATTTGTTGAAGAGCGAAAGGAGAAAGGCCAGCCTCAACAATATCAAGTCGGAGCCTTATTCTCTTCAGTTTCTAGTCCGTACCACCTTGAAATCCTCGTGCTTCCAAGGTACTAATGCAAGGAAAGTTAATTGCGGTCGTGTATACTCTGCCTACATATTGGAACCAGTTCTCTCTGGGCGGAATTTGTAATCAAGAATAGATGCATCAGTGTTCATTTAGTATCCGAGAAGGCTATGACCAGATTATTTCATAGATTATCTTTGTGAAAATTGATACCATTTCAGTCTGTGACATCCGTCTTGTGTTTACTTTCCCCCGAAAGACCGTATAATTTAGTATAAAAAATGCGCACACCTGTGAAATATCTTTCATTGCTTTAGTACCTTGGTGCGCGTGCTCTTCCAATCTTTTTTAAAATTTCCAATCCTTTATAAAACTATTAGATTGGGGCAACGTTAGGGCATAAATGAAATAATGAAATTTTAAGTCGAGAAACATATTTACAATTCTTTAAATTGTTCTACTTTTTTTGCTCACATTCTTACTTATTCCTGCTGTTTAATGCCACAAATAAATCAGAGGTTAGAACTTTTATCTTTTTGTTATTACATTGAAAACCACATTATTTTTCCTGGTGGTTTCCTGGGGAAAAGGGCAGGCAGATGTATGCCAAACAATTTTTCTATTATAAACTTGAAACACAAACTAATCAGAGGATGAGGATTTTGAAATGGCTCGGACGAGAAATTGGCTGGCCTACCTCCCCGAGGTAGGGAAACTTCGGACGCCATGAGCCTACCAAATTTACTAGGCAGACAGAGCCTCAGCCATGCAGCAATGAGCCTGTGTAATACAGGAGGTTTGTTAAACTTGTCTTTTAAGTATAATTAAAAGATTTGTTCACAAATATTTCGACTTAGTGGCATGAAAGGTTTCTCAAAGGTATCGATCTTAAAATAATTAGTGCCTAATAAAGTGGTATATAAAACTTCAAACATTGTTCACGCGAAAAGAAAAACATTTAGAGAAATCATTTTGAAATTAATATAATTTTCTCATATAATGTCTGAAAAGTGATACCTTCTGTAGTTCAAATTCAATCTTGAAAATCTTAACTGATTTTTCGAAAAAAAAGGTAATGCTTAAATCAAAGATTTCAACAAAACAAACGCTCACTCTACAAATATTTCTCCAATCTTCCTTTTTGCGCAAGACATGTTAAAAATTTAAGTATAAATCTTATAAACCACTTTTATGAGTCAAATATGTTTCTAATCATGACAACCAATAAATAACCAATCTTTAGTAAAACTCTTATGCCACTACGTCTAAAAAAATTGTTAACATTTTTCATCACACTTTAAAACCAAGATTTGAAAAAAGCTGTATGTATGGTGGAAGCTCGTTTACTGCATAGTGGAGGCACGGTCGGCATAGCAAAGGTTTGGTCTCCCTCCAATTCCATAGCGGAGTTCTTACTGTATGTCGGGAGGGTTGTATCTGCATGGTGGCCGGAGTACCCTCTCTCGTTCACGGGTACATCATTGAAGGGATAAACTTTTTCTTTGATGACCTGTTCTGTCCTCGTGATGAAAACTTAACATTTTTTGATGTAGTGTCATAAGAATTTTACTAAAGATTAGAGTAGTTCATTGATTGTCATGATTAGAAACATATATGGACTCGAAAGTGGTTTATAAGATTTATATTAAAACTTTAAACGTTTCTTACGCAGAAAGGAAGATATTTGGAGAAATATTTCTGGAATAACTTGGTTTGTTTTGTTGTAATCTCTGAATTAAACAATACCTTTTTTGAAAAATTGTTGAGATTTAAATAATAAATACAAATTTTTTAGATTTAATTTGACCTTCAAAAAAAGGTATTGCTAAAATCAAAGATTAAATGAAATTCAATTCAATTTTTTTTTCTAAATATTTACCTTTTCGTGTAAAAAATGTTTGAAGTTTTAGATACCACCCTTAGTCATAATTAGGCACTATGCCTAAAAATTTAAAAAAAATCTTTTATTTAAACTTAAAACACATGTTTAAAAAAACCTCCTGTATTACACAGCACATTTTGATGTGTTGCGCATGCTCATTTCTGTAAAGCGGAGGCTTGGTCTGCCTAGCAACTCTTGGAGGCTCATGTCTGCATAGGTGCTCATGGCGTCCGGGGGTTCCCTCCCTCGTCAGTCTTCAAAGACTGAATCGGTAGTAAAATTTTGTAATTCTAAGTTTTGTTTAAAACTTTTTCCTCCCAGTTATTAATAAAGTTATGTTGGAAGTTTATTCTTCAAAATTTACACACAAAGATCCCTGATTAAGTGATATCTTGACAGAGGAAAGTCTCAATTTGTGTATTTTGGTAAATTGCCCTAGATGACTTAGATTAGTGTTTTGTTCTTATTTAAACTAAATGTAATATCCAGTATTCAAAAGACGACTTACCAAACCTTGCTCCTCTTCGTCAAATGTAAAAAAGACCAGAGCTGAAAACTTTAGAATGGATAAACTTTAATCTTGACTTCTTGATCCGAATATCCACTGTGGAAACTTTTCATTTTAGTCCTTAATCCACTCTTTTTCTCTCTCCTTGGATATCCGTTAATTGTTTTCACCAATGAGAATATTTCTGTTCTCTCATTGGTTGCCCGCTTTTCTCTGATTGGCTGCTACAGTTTCTCAGATGATTAAATATTAATTTGAATTTTATCGTTTTTCATACACTTTTAAGATAATCTTGCAAGATTATGTTAATCTGGAGATTAAGAAAAGAGTAGATTAAGCCTTAATCCCGATATGCACCATTCAAAAGTTCCCAGCTCAGAGCCCGTTTTCTCTCTAATAATGTACAAGCAGTGGTCCACGGTCTTGACGGTCGTGTTCTTCACGTACTCGTGGTGGACGACAGTGTCTCGTATGAGTTATCAATCTGGCAGATATAAGATTTTTTTTCTTTGACAGAAAGTTGTTAAGTCCTTCAGGGTTACCTATGTACAAACGATGAGACTGTAAATTGACCTGAAATTAGTCAAATATGGCGATATCACATTTTAATTAAGATTTAGATGTCTTATTAAATAGTTAAGAAAGAAGTTAATAGCAACAGGGAAGCACATTAATATAGATTGATAGTTCAATACAGATAGAACGCTAGATAATGTCGTCTTTCAAGGTTTAGGCGTTTTTCTTTAACAATATCCCTGAGACTGAAGCCTCAGCCTGCGTTGAAATACACAACTGAGAGTAAGTATACGCATGTCCTTTGGGCTTCTGCCTTGCAAGGTCATTGTGAACGAAAACCCCCTAGATCTTATCTATATTGTTACTATTGAATGACATTGACCTAATCAATAAAAATGAAAGACTCGTTTGAGTAAATGTTTTCTTTTCTTACCGAGACCTCAGAATTCAAATGCGGTGGTACAGGCGATTATATCAAAATAATTAAAACGACTTTCGGTTTAATTTGTAATTTTTGTCAAGCTTTTAAATAGCGTGGATAGTGGATAGTGGATAGTGGATACACAAAAACATCGAAATAAAGAGAAGCTGTCAATCAAAAGCTTTTCTTTAATTACATGTGATTCAAAAAAAACTTTTTAACAATTAAATAAAAAGTCTTCTTTATTATATTGATTTATTCGTCAACCACCGTATGTTCCCCCAAACAAAATTCCTATTTCTGCCCCTGCTCTTGAGTTACATTTATAGTTGTGGCTTTTTATCAGTTTATTTGAAAATCATTTTTGTGCATTTATCATTTTTAAAGATTCTGGAAAAAATTACTGGAACCTGAATTTGAACTATAACTTGTCAACAGAAAAAATGATTTATTAAAAATCTAAAATAAATTGGCGACTAAAAATATTTGCACAGAAAAAAAATATCACAATTTGATAAAAAGTGAACGTTAAGTGCAATTAAAAGGGTACATTTTACAATGCACACATTAGTAAGTGGACTAAAAAAAGACCAAGTCGTCTTCGTTTATTAATACTAATAAAACTCCGAGAATTCTCTAGTATTCTTTAATTCCGTCATATTTCTGATATACACAATCAATCATAACAAATACATTATTCAGGGACTATTTTTATTAGAAGATTTAACGACGACTACTTGTTCATTTCGCTTTATTCCAAATATTACTGTACGACGTACGTCACACGTGTACACAAAAATGCGTATGCAATCGATTAGGCTTATATTTGAAACTCTATATATAGCCCATAAATAATTCTCTAAAGACGACTTAGGATACACTTTACATGCAGGATCTTTAAGGAACTGTTGTTTCTTTGTTTTTGCTGTGTAAATTGGCAAGTCTCTAAGAGTGAGAAACCGCAATTTGCTCCAGATTATGTTTGAAGGGTATACAAATTATGAATCGGACATGGTAAGAACGTAAATCGTCGTTAGTTACAACTGTACTGAAAACAGATCTAAGAACACTCATAACGCATAATCAGAAAGACCCGGAATTCATTTACAATTGATCAGCTGAGTTTAATTTTACAAATATGATGGATGAAACGATAATCATTACCCTAGTCACCCTAGTCCTGCCATCTTATAAATGCGGTCTGCTTTCCTTGAGCGTTTAAAATTGAAAGAGATATATATGTTAATCCGCCTGATTAACTGTTAATAAATTCCGGGTCTTTCATGCTGATTATGACAGTAATACAAACTTGAAGTCGTCTTTGGTGCATCATTAATCTTAATTTTTGTCCAGCTTTTTTTTGTGATAAAATAAATGAATGGAAAAAGACTATAACACAATATATTTTGTATGTAATTATAGTAAGCTGAGAGCATTGTGTTGTTATTCAGATAAAGCATGGTTTTACTTTTCTAAAACACAGCATCAACAATTTGCTCAACTAAACCTTTATCTTCCTCTTTATCCTCCTCCTCCTCTTTCTTTTCCTCACCCTCTTCTTTCTTCTCTCCATCTTCATCTTCTTTTTTATCTTCACCACCCACTTCTTCTTCTTTCTTTTCCCCTTCTTCTCTTTCTTTCTTTTCCTCTTTTTCTCCTTCTGCGCCTTCTTCTTTTTCAGCCCCTTCCTCCTGAGCAGAAGGTTCTCCTACCTTATCAGTAGGCTCCTCTGCGGTCTCCTGAACAAGAATGTACACAGTTCAACTGCTTTATTCTAACATTTTAGAAGAACAGTTTAGATTACTTATTTGGGACAAACTATGTATGAAAGTAACGGGAAAAATGTTCCAAGATAAAATGTCACTGGTTAAAAAGTCCTGAGTTTTCGATTTTTGGGACTTTTTCCCCTTTAAAATAGTATGAAAGATATATATAATAGAAATATAAAATAGTAAAGCTCTTAAAAAGATATTCAAAATGGCATGGACTTGTTTCCACAGTTCTTTTTATAGGACCAAATTTTAGGAATTAATTTCCGAAAACATTTTTTCAGAGAGCTTTCTTGATGGTTCTTCAGGAACACTCTCGTCATAATTGATCGTACTTACGTAATGATTGTAACGACTATGATAACCCTAAAGGTAAAAAACTGCTAAATATCGGTAAATGCTAAATTTTGTTAAAATCTGCTAGATTAAATCTCTTTGAGGAGTTATAAGGGTCAAGTACCATTAATGAATTATGCAAATATTAATAAAGCCATGTTTTGAAAAAAACTTGATAACACCTCACATCAAATTATTATTAATGTAAAACTAATTACCATTATCTCACAGTTAGTGTTGAGCAGGGTCAGCTGTTTCTGTACATCAAGAGATACCAGGCCTGTATTCATACAACCCTCCTCCTGTACATAATTATAATTCATGTGAGTACATGATTATCTGATTAGCTGTATCTGTACATCAAGAGATACCTGGCGTGTACTCATACAACCCTGCTTTACATAATTATAATTAATAAGTACATCGCTATATATGTTGCGTCAACAGATACCTGACCTGTTTTCATAAATCCATCTTCCTGCACATGATTATATTCAATGAGTACATGATTAGCTGTTTCTGTACATCAAGAGATACAATGACCTGTATCTCATATATCCCTCCTCCATCAAGAGAAACCTGACCTCTGTACTCATTCAACCCTCTTCCTTTAGATACATACTTATTAAAAAAAAACTTTTATTAAAAGCTCCAATATTTTAAAAATTATTTTTTTTAAAGTTTGCTTCTGCCAACTTTACGATATTTTTATATTGAGAGAAAGTATAAAGGAAAAGCAAACTATTGGATTAAAAACGATAGTTTGGTTCTTTTAGCGTCAAAACTTTTAGTAGTGTCAGGAAATCCAATGTTTAGTATTTTGAAATTTGGACATTTTTTAACTTTGGACAAATTGTAACTTTGGGCATTTTTTATCTCTGGACATTTTGTAACTTAGTAGTTTGTTAGTAAGTAAGGATTAACCCCAACATAGATACAGCTATGAAAAGTTGCATCAATGTTCAAGACCTTGTCAATAATGTTATAGACCAGGTCAAATGTACAAAAGAACCACAAAGTTGTAACTTGGGATATTTTATAAACTTGGACATTTTGTAATTTTGGGCATTTTGTAATTTTGGACATTTTATAACTTTGGACATTTTGTAATTTTGGACATTTTGTTATCTTGGGTGTTTTTTTTTTGTGTTTTGTTTTTGGACGATTTGTAACATTGGGCGTTTTGTTTTTGGGTGATGTGTAATTTTGGGTGTTTTGTTATTGGACTTTTTGTTTTTGGGCGTTTTGTATTCACTCCATTAATTATACATGTAGAACAGCTGTATTTAAGTACGTTACTGGTAACATTTTCATTCTCAATGCCCAAAAAATATTCGGCAATTGTGAAAAGTTTAGATTAAAGTGCTTCAGTTTGCAGTGAAATTAGTGCAGTTTTATGTGTAAAAAATGATTTATTAAATGGCCTTCATGCGCTAAAAAACGCGTCGAAACTGTTTGACACTGATGGCGTCATGCATGATTTCTTTAAAATTAATATGATTACAATTTACAGGCGACATTAGATCAAACACTAACACTTACATGGTTTAGTGATTTATACGCTTAAAAAATGTAACTTTGCGGATTTGGCCCATTAGAAATTGACCAAGGTTTAGTTTTTGCCACAAACTCTGATTTGCTTACCCCTATATCTTTGCAACGCACTGTCTTAGAACGTTGAATTTTCAAACGCTGAATTCTGTCAGATTACATAATCTAAGTTTGAAATAGCAAAGGTTTACATCATCAGGTCACAAAGATATATGGATTGAAAAATTCGAGTTTGTGACAAAGACTCAAATCCTATACCCAGGATTATGCAATTGAATATTACCCTAAGAAGAAGCAGTGCAGACCGGATATCCTGTATATACAGTTTCCCTGGTTCCTCCAGCAGTACATCTACTACTTCCCTGCACAGAGACATCAGCTTCAACAACAAACAAAAACAAAATCGACAAAAAAAAAAAAAAAATCAAATAAATTAATAAGAATTTAAACGAAACATTAAAGAAAAAGGAGAAAACAAAAATACAAACCAAAAAAATAAGGATAGAACTAAAGCAAGAAAAAAAATCAAAAATAAGAAAAAGAACAAGAACAAAAACAAACGCATATAAACAAGAAGGAAAAAAGAATAATTACAAGAGCAAAAAGGAGATCATCAACAAGAAAGAAAACAACAATGACAAGAACAAGAAGAAAAACAAGTTTTGAAGATATATGTCCCTGTTATTTTTAGCATTCTTGAACCAAGGAGATATAAGGCGAAAGATCATCACAGAAAGAGCAATAAACGCCTGAAGGAATACATTTTATTAATAGACCGACAAAATCTGTTTAAGATTTTCTACAACGATATCGATATCGAACATGAATTCGACATCGATCAATACTTATTTTACTTTTATCTGTTGCTTCTAAAAGGAGAAAATGGCTAAACACGAATTATTATTCACAATCTGAAATGCAACTCCATGAATCCGTATGGATCCTACGTTGTTCGGCTTAAGAAGTCCTATCAAGTTGTCATTTTTCATGATTTGGATTGAACAAGTTACTTTATCAACAAACATTTTATACTTGCCTCTGACTTGAATACAAATGAATTTTAATGGTTTCAATTATTCAAATAAAAACTTTTCAATATAAAATAAAATACTTTTGCTTCTAAAGAGAATGTTTTTTTCCGGAAAATGAGGAATAATTCTTTAAACAAATTTTATACCTTTTCGCTCCAGTTATAGAGGAATAGCACATCCCATATATAGAAAATAACAGGATAGGGTAGAACACCAACAAACCCCTCAGATATCCACTTACGAATCTATAAAAAACAATCAGAAATAATTGCTTGCAGATTTAATACAGAAAATAAATTATAATAATAATAATGATAATAATAACAACAATGGTAATAATAATTAGGATAACAAAACAAGCAAATTAAAATGAAGAAAATCTTTTTCTGTTCTGTAAAATTCATTTTAAGAATACCCAAAGATCCAGTTTTCCAAAATGTTCGTGGTCCTTTGGTTTCCATTCTTTCTTCTTCTTCTTCTTTAGTTCGTTCCAGGTTTTTTCTGCTTTGTTTGGATGTTCCTTTATCAGGATTTCAGGAACAATGGAGAACAATAATCCTTTATTTCATAGTTTATATCAGATAAATTACAAGAATTCAAGAATTCAACACATGGATTCTTGCGTTAATTTGACATTTTTTGGACGTTTTCTTAAATTAAAAATTAGATAAGGAAAAGGGAGAATTCAATTAAATTGAATATTTGCCATTTAAATTTATTATTGAAATTCAATTTCTATATGTAAAAATATGTATTTAAAGTTGATCAGAGCTCAAAACTTTAGAAAAGGTGGATATCGAGATCAATGCTTAAACTCCTCTTTTTCGTAATTTCCAGATTAAATAATGCTTGTTCTCCTCTTGTTATTAATCTCCGGATGGGGATTAAGGTTATCACATTCTTAAATTCAGCTCAAGTAAAATAGGATATTCTTTTAAACATTAAGATATAATATACATTACATTTAATATTTTATATATCTTTATATTTTATAATAAAAATTTTTAAGATTTATCCATGACCCGACAGCAATTTTTTGAAGAAAATAGGAATTTGGGAAATTAGCCAGATTCCAAGGTATTTGGGAAGTTTCCCAGATTCCCAGTCATTTGGGGAATTACCGAAATTTCCCAAATTTTTAAAGAAATTTCGAAATTTTTTAGATTTCTTAAACAGATTTTGTGAATATCTCAAATGAATGCAGATATCTGGAAATTCCCAAAATAAATGGGTATTTGGAAAATTTACCAAATTATAGTTAGGGATTTAAGAAATTTCTTACATTTGAAAAATAAACTACCCTTAGACATAAGAAAGTCGGGGTATTCCCCAGATTCATAGGTATTTTGGTAATTTTGCCAGATTCCAAGGCATTTGAGGACTTTCCGAAATTTCCCAAACTCCTGTAGAAATTCGAGGGATGGGATATTTTTAAAATTTTGGAAATATGTCAATTGACTAGATATTTGGGGAATTCCCCAAATGTCTGGGTATTTGGGAAATTTCCCAAATAACTAGGCATTTCAGAAAGGAATTGAGGTTTTGCCACAAACTCAAATCTTCTGATCCCAATATCTTTGCAACCTGATGGTACAAACCTTTGATATTTCAAACTTAGGTTATTTTATCTATAAGTATTAATAGTTTGAAATATCTAAGGTCTATGACGTTGGATTACAAAGATATAAAGATTAGAAAATCAGAGTTTGTGGCAAAAACTCAACTCCTTTCCTATAATTTAGTGAATTTCCAAGACTCCCAGGAATTTGGGATTTCCCCAGATTCCCAGACATTTGGGAAATTTTTAATTTTGTCCATTTTCTTAATTCTATGTTCTAAACTATGTGCCTGAAGCATGAATACTCTGATCAAGTGGTTTAACTACTCCGTTGTACAGCTCTTCATCTACCTTTAGTTCAGCCAGTACCTATAGTTAGTTAGCATTATAGTGTAGAGTACTTCTTTGGTGTTTATACAGGACATTTACCGTACATTGGAGCACATCCAGATTAAGCAACGGCCTTACAACCTTAATTGTGCACTTTAACACTGTCAAAAACAGCTTTTGGTCTACACATTCACTGTACTATTCGGAAACTCATATGTATTTTTGGTTTGTTAAAGCGAGGTTTACTGAGTCCTCTTCGGTCAAGAGCCAGAAATCCAACCAATCACGATAGTACCAATCAAACTTTTCGCTTAGGAAGTGCATCTTACTATTTGTTTTACCTTAAAGGGACTGTAGGCGTAATTTCAATTGTGACACTCCATGCAAAGATGGCATTGTCCGATTTACAACGGTTTAAAGAAACAAAAACATTGATATTTTATTCATACTTGATCAGACAAAGCTTTTAGGGGTACAGTTGTGAATCGGGCATTGCCTTTGCGGAGGGTCATTTGAAATTATGCTTTACAGGATACAGAAGATTGGGGTTACCTTGTTATCGACATGACTGACATCTTTGTAGGATAGAGAAGCATGTCTACAGTAATATTTACCTTGTCTTCACTTTGCGACCTGAATAAACCCGTAATAGGATAGAGGAGCATGTATTCAGCATTCTTGATTATACCTTTAAGAATAGAGAAGCATGTCTATGCACGGTCTACGACCTGCCTAATACCTTTAAAGCAACGAGGAGCATGTCTTTACCTTGTCAGCGACCTGACTGACATCCTTGAAAGATAGAGGCGCATGTCTACAGAATTTCTCGAGAAAAGACGAAATTTCAATCATCTGTTTCTCTTCGTTCTCTCTAGTCTCTTCACCCTAAACCAAACCTTACTCTTCATATATGAAAAAAACCTAAAAACAATCTGACAATCTTAAATTCTAACATATTCAAACAAGTTGTACAGTTTTATTCCGTAACATTAAGAGATTTAATCAGAAAAAATATACAATGGATATTTTCTAAATTCTCTTTTTTTAAAATTCGTTATCTAAGCTATATTGCAAATTTAAGATAAAAGTCGTGTATAAAAAGTGTAAAATATTCCTTCTGGAGAATTTAAAGTATGCATCCTTTTTAAAATTTTGTAATTTCCTGCCGTTTCATGATTTACTTTAACCACCAGTAAGATATGTATTTAAATATTTAATCTGTCTCTTTAATGTTTGATAATTGCTGGTTTGTACTTTAACAGCGATGGTTTTATCTTCATTTTATATTGAACTATGTAGTAAGTTTAGTGAGTGTAGTTGGGTAACTTTGTTTTATTACTAATTTCAATTTTAGTATTGAATTTACAACTTGGATCTCGGATCTTCATACATTTTATTCTTTTTCCTTTACCATAGCACTAGGAAACTAGATTTTTATTAAATATATGTAAAGTGAAGGATAAATCAAATGAAGGGCAAATGAAATACACGACAATAAAGTGTAGGATTAATTGAAAGCAGGACAAATGAAGTGAAGGACATATAGAGTGCAGGACAAATAAAGTGAAGGACAAATACAGTGCAGGACAAATGAAGTGCAGGACAAATGAAGTCAAGGACAAATACAGTGCAGGACAAATGAAGTGCAGGACAAATGAAGTGAAGGAAAAATGAGGTGCAGGACAAATGAAGTGCAGGACAAATGAAGTAAAGGACATATAGAGTGCAGGACAAATGAAGTGCAGGACAAATGAAGTGAAGAACACATAGGGTGCAGGACAAATGAAGTGCAGGACAAATGAAGTGCAGGACAAATGAAGTGAAGGACATATAGAGTGCAGGACAAATGAAGTGAAGGACAAATACAGTGCAGGACAAATGAAGTGCAGGACAATAAAGTGTAGGATTGATTAAGAGCAAGACAAATGAAGTACAGGACAAATGAAGTGAAGGACAAATAGGGTGCAGGACAAATGAAGTGCAGGACAATAAAGTGCAAGATTAATTAAGTGCAGAAAAAATAAAGTGCAGGACAGATAAAGTGCAGGACAAATAAAGTGCAGAACCAATAAAGTGCAGGACAGATAAAGTGCAGGACAAATAAAGTGCAGGACCAATAAAGTGCAGGGCAAATAAAGTGCAGGAAAAATAAAGTGAAGGACAATAAAATAAAGTGCAGGACAAAGACAGTGTAAGACAAATAAAAATTAGGAAAAATGAGGCGCAGGACACATGAAGCGTAGGACAAGTTAAGTTTAATATTTTAATGCTTAAATTTAGAATGATATTAAGCGCCCGACGGCCAATAAACTGTGGATTGTGGAAAAAACGTGATGTAGGACAATTATTCCAAGGACAACCTTAGATTAGAATATAATTCTATTCCAAAGACAACCTTAGCTTAGATTAGAATATAATTCTATTCCAAGGACAACCTTAGATTAGAATATAATTCTATTCCAAGGACAACCTTAGCTTAGATTAGAATATAATTCTATTCCAAGGACAACCTTAGATTAGAATATAATTCTATTCCAAGGACAACCTTAGATTAGAATATAATTCTATTCCAAGGACAACCTTAGATTAGAATATAATTCTATTCCAAGGACAACCTTAGATTAGAATATAATTCTATTCTAAGGAAAATAACTTAAAGTGTGAGAATTATTTTTAAAGTGTCTTAAGTCTCAATCTTGTCAAGGTTTGTTCCTTTTCATAAAGAATTTGGAATGGTAGAGCCCAATATATCTGGGCGTTGGTGTACTCCTTGTCCACAACGTTGAGGATGTTGATGATGTGGGCGGTCTGCAGCATGTGGGTGTCCTACCAGTCAACCAGACATATATCAGGCAGTTTCTAATGCAGGGACAATGGAATTTAACTCAACAAAGCTAGAAACTTCTTAATAAACGGAAAAAAATTCAACATTGACCTTTTCAAAGAATAGTTTTGCATAAGTTTTAGTTCTTTATAACTAATTTTGCCTATTTATGCAAGTTGTGTAGCATGCTAAAACTGTAACAGGTAAGACAGGTTTAATTTTGCTTTTTAGAATGATTTTTTAAACAGAAACCGACTAAGGAATAGAGTCTTTGCCGCATTAGATTTTTCAAACTTTAAGTTAAAAAAATCTAAGTTTAAAATATAAAAACTTTTGCACCATCAGGTTGCAAAGATATAAGGATTAGAAAATTGAGTGTGTGGCAAATAAGATAAAAAGAATTGTATACATTTTCTATAGTCGTCTTTCATGTCTTAATCATAACCCTGTACTTTATATTGTAAATCAGTTTATATATTTAATATGTTGGTTCCTCTGAATATGTTTTGAGAATATTATTACTGTGATAGGTATCTATAACAGCACTGTATATATTCTTGTAATCTGAACTCTGAACTGCTCGCTGTGTTCCACCCTTCAGCTTCTTCTTTATCTCAGCCTAGATAAACACTACAGTTAATAATAATTTAATAACAATAAAAATTTTGGTTTTGTAAAGGCCTTACAGTTTTCTGAAACTGTTTATACCAGCTTCAGGAAAGGTTCGTAATGCATTTCCCACTATAGTTTCAGGAGAAGTAAATATTTCCTTTTACGGTTTAGCCCTGATATAAGGATCCATCTCTAATTGGATGATGAGATAGATAGAAAGATAGATGTTACCACCATGCAATTTCTGTTGGTTCAGAATAGACACTAAACACAAGGCTGAACCCTGATTGGATTACAATTGTGTTCCGAAACCACATTAATCCGGGAGAGATTAGAAACCCTATTTACAAAACAATGAAATAATGTCTTCTTTATTGCTTTCTAATTTAAGTTATGTGTTGTTATAATTCAAATTTCTAGTCATATCTCAGTTATATCAAATGTTAACAAGGATGTTTCTCTCTTAAAAAGAATGAATCACGACAACAAACTTTTCACAGTTTTTACATATCACGATAAATTGGAAATCGAAAAATTGAATTTTTTATTTAATTTTGAATTTTTAGGCCTTGTCTACTGTTTTATGCTTGATGGGAAAACAATTTATTTAATAAAAAAACATAATCTTTGAAAGATAAAAACAAGTTAAAAATTTTTAATATATTTCTGATCTAGAACTTTTCAAGTTCATTTTATTTGTAATCAAATCTTTGTTTAGCTTTAACTAAAAGATCCTCCAGCCAACTTAATGAAATTATTTAAACCAAGAAGTTTTTTTTGTATAATATATTGTATCGTTAACGTATAACAACTGATAGTATTTACAGTACATAGCAGCTTATTCAAAATATATTCAAAATTAACCCTTAATGGTCCGGCTGTGAACTAATATAGTTTCTGTAATTATCCTGAGCTGGGAACTTCAGAATGGTGGATATCTGGATGAATGCTTAATCCTCTCTTTTTGCTAATCTCGAGACTAACAAAATCTCGAGATTATGTTTGTCTCGAGACTAAATATTTAGATCAACAAGTTTGATTCTAATAACGCCAGATTTGCTCGTGTTCATGACTAGAAGGGCATTCACTTAATTTCTCACCCATTTCTTTATGGTTAAATTGGTTAAAAAAGAATCTTAAAGGTATTATAAAATATTTTTCTTCACCGATATCTACAAAATGGCTGCCAACAAATTCTTAATTTTTTAGCAAATGTGGATTTCTCTCATGGAATAGAATTTATTTTCAAGGCTGTCATTGGTCAATACAATTTACAAACTATATTGCTGCACTCTCATTGGAGAAAACAATGTAAGGATATCCAAAGAGAGAAAAAAAGAGTGTATTAAGGACTAATCCATATCCATAGTGGATATTCGGATAAAATAGTTGGGATTAAAGGTTATCCATTCTAAAGTTTCCAGCTCTGATGAATTATGATTTAAACGGAGAAAGTTTACACTTCAGTAGTGAATCAAAATACCAGGTTTCTGTCACCCCTAGACTTTAAACTAGATCACGGATTTTATGGAATAAATTAAGGCATTCAAAACTATTCACCGACTGTCATGTTTCGTGGGACACCCTGTACATCCCACAACTCTAAACTTAAACTACAAATATCCTACACCCCTAGATTTTAATTCAAATATCCGTCACCCCTAAACCCAAACTACAAATATCCTACACCCCTAGATTTTAATTCAAATATCCGTCACCCCTAAACCCAAACTACAAATATCCTACACCCCTAAACCCAAACTACAAATATCCTACACCCCTAAACCATAACTGCAAATATCCTACACCCCTAGATTTTAATTCAAATATCCGTCACCCCTAAACCCAAACTAAAAATATCCTACACCCCTAAACCATAACTGCAAATATCCTACACTTCTAAACTTAAACTTTAAATATCTTACACCCCTAAACTTAAACTACAAATATCCTACACCCCTAAACTTAAACTACAAATATCCTACACCCCTAAACTTAAACTACAAATATCCTACACCCCTAAACTTAAACTACAAATATCCTACAGCCCTAAACTTAAACTGAAAATATCCTACACCCTTAAACTTAAAATCCAAATATCCTACACCCCTAAACTTAAAATCCAAATATTCTAGACTTCTAAATTTAAACTCCAAATATCCGTCACCCCTAAGCCTAAACTCCAAATATCCTACACTTCTAAACTTAAATTACAAACATTTCACAAAAAAAAATTTTAAATCACTTTAAAAAGGATGAACAACCAATATCTAAAACACAAGGTTGTAAAACTTCCTTTCTGAAAGAATCTGTCATCAAGGAAACTGTTTTTATAAATTGTTTTCTCGCCAAGTAAAAACAACTTGAGCACTAATGAGCAGAGACAGGGGTGAACATAGTTCATTAATTCATTTGTTTAATTTACAAAAAAAAGATTTTTATTCCCAAAAAAGTTGAATTTTAAGTTCTAAATCACGGTGGCCCAAGTATACTATTAATTTGCGTTGAAAATGTTGTTTTACTGGGTCCGAAAATAAATTATTTTTCATATTTTGAGTTTCAGCTTTTTCTTGCAACAAATGTAAAGCATATATCTTTGCAATCTGATGATTTAAACCTTTCAAATTTATAAAATCAAATCAAATCAAATCAAATCCAATATATATTGCACGAAGAATTTGAGTTTATTAGGAGACTTTTTCAGTAAATGTTTAGTTTTGGCTCAGTTTTTCCTTCTGACTGGATAACTATACTTTAGACCAAATCCAACAAATTGAATTTTTTAGATTTTCTGACATCGGAAACACAAATGATAAGAAACGTCTCGCCAAACTTTATTTCTTTTTAACCTGCAATATTGTAAACCTTTGATATCTCCAACTGAATCTCCAATTTGAATTAGAATTTATAATTTGAAATATCAAAGGTCAATAACAAGATCACAATGGAAAATAAAAAATCAGAAAATTCGAGTTTGAGGTTAGTAATTAATTTTCCAGCAAAGAAATCATGAGTCTTTGCCACAAATTGAGATTTACTAAAATCCCTATATCTTTGCAACCTGGTGTCATAGAATTCAGGGATATTTATAACAATGAATGGTATGCACCATCAGGATGCAAAGATATAGGAATCAGAAAATATGAGTTTGTGGCAAAGATTCGATTTCTTTGTGACCTTGAAATCTCGTGCAGCTTTCTTTTTCGATTTTTTCTTCCCCGTATCCTTCTCCTCACTCTCACCGATAAATCCTTCCCAGAAAAACTTCCTAAGCAAGGATCAAAAACTAAAACTTAAAAAACCTAAATAAAATAGAATGGATTTGTTACTTTTATGATAGTTAAATTGCGTGGAAAAGTATTTTACGGAATATATTTTACAAAGGAATTGAGTCTTTGCCCCAAACTCTGATATATAAACAATCAAAGTTTGAAATATCAAAGGTTTGCATAACTGGTTGTAGATATAATAGGTATTAGAAAGCAATTGAGTTTTTGCCTCAATCTCGCATTTTCTAACCCCTTTATCTTTGCAACCTGATGATGCAAACCTTTGATATTTCACACTTAGACTATTTGATCTAACAGAATTAATAGTTTGAAATATCAAAGGTCTAGGAAAACAGGTTGCAAAATAATTGGAATTAGAAAGTCAGAGTTTGTTGCAAAAACTCAATTAGAATGGGATTTTTTGCAAAGACTCAATTCCTTTGAAAGAAATTCCAAATCATGCAGATGTCTAATTCGGAATATATTGAGTTCTGCCTCTAAAGAGTTTTTTGGGGCTGGCTCTATTTTGTATATGAAAAATACATGCATATAATGTATCATGTAAAATATATGAATAGTGTACATGTAAAATATTTGAATAATGTATCATGTAAAATATATGAATGATGTACATGTAAAATATATGAATAATGTATCATGTAAAATATTTGAATAATGTATATGTAAAATATATGAATAATGTATCATATAAAATATAAAAATGTATATGTAAAATATATGAATAATGTATATGTAAAATATATGAATACTGTACATGTAAAATATTTGAATAATGTATAATGTAAAATATATGAATAGTGTATATGTAAAATAGATGTATAGTGTAAAATGTAAAATAGATGTATAAAATAAGTGCCAAAGAATAGATGGTGGGAAAAATTATTCTTGTAGAATATGTAAATTTATCTTTTCTTTTCAGCTTTCTTACATCACACAGTATTTGTCAAGCAAATTTGTTAAAAATCATATGTAAAATCAGTCTCCTAAGAAAGGTTAACAATTTATTATTATTTTCTCATCTTTTAAAGTCAAAATTCAGAACATAAAGAATCTCTGTTGTTGCTTTCAACTTTTAACACGTGGGAAATGTCAGATTACCGCGGATTACATATAAAAGCAAAAAGAAAATGAAATCTGAAGAAAACAATGGAATTCAAGGTAGTTACTAGGAGGTCAAAAATGAAGATATGAGATTATTTAACGATGGCTTTTTGACAGCTTTCCTCTGTTTTAATTCCAAGAAGGGCAAAAAAGCTGTAGCAAGAGTCGATTCAAAAGATGTTTCATATTTCAGCAATAACTATGATTCAGCAGATGTTTCATATTTCAACAATAACTATGATTCAGCTGATGTTTAATATTTCAACTATAACTATGATTCAGACATTCCACCATGTCTCCCAACACCAAAACTCAAACATTGGCAAACTTACATACACAGGGTATAAATAAAAGAATCCGACTATATTAAATGGCGCAGAGAGATATTAGTTTTGATATTATTTGTTTTCTAAAGGCGCCAAAAGATGGTTTAAACAGCAGGGAGTAAGAAAACATTACAAAGAGAAATGACATTTGCCATTTACAACAATCCTTAACCGACTTTATTTTTATAAAAATTGTGTTATTTTTATTAATATACAGCGTGAATATAGAATATGTTTATATTAAGAACCAGATGTTTTCTCAGTTGCAACAATTACAAAATCGCGACATTTCTTAATAAAAGGATGAACAAAGACGACTCTCATTCAAATTTTTTTCGGTTCTCTCTGCATGAAATACTAGAAAGGGAAGAAATAGGAAAGGATTGAAGAAGTTGAGCAGCTAGGTTAAGGTGAAAGAATAACCCTCTCAATATTTTCTATATGTTGTCAATACAAGACATCTTCTATAAACTATCGGAAAGACTTCTGTTCTACAAAATATATTCTTACTTTCGTTTCTCCGGGTTCCTGGTTTCCTGGCCTAAAATTTGTTCGGGTTCCTGGTTTCCTAGTTTAGGATTTCTTCGGGTTTCTAATTTCTTTGTTTCGGAATTTTCTGTGTTCCTAGTTTCCTGGCTAAGGATTTATCCAGGTTCCTGTTTTAGGATTTCTCCTGGATTTCTGGTTTCCTGTTTCATGATCTTTCCGGACTCCTGGTTTAAGATTTCTTCGGGTTCCTGGTTTCCAAGTTTAGGATTTCTCTGGGTTTCTAATTTCTTGGTTTAGGATTTTTCTGTGTTCCTAGTTTCCTTGCTTAGGACTTCTACAGGTTCCTGGTTTTCTGTTTAAGGATTTCTCCGGGTTCCTGGTTTTTTAGTTCAGGATTTCTCCGGGTTTTGGTTTCCTGTTTAAGGATTTCTCCGGGTTCCGGGCTTTCTTGTTCAGACTTTCTCCTGGTTTAGGATGTCCACGGGTTCCTGATTTCCTGGTTAAGGATTTCTTCGGGTTTCTTGGGTTCTCCAGGTTCTCTTTTTTTGTTTTTTTTCTCTCAGATAATTTTCATAATTATTAGAGGTTTCTTTTCTCTTCCTTAGACCAGTCAACCTGCGGGTTATATTTCAATATTTCAATTCATGTATCTCCTTCTATTTTCCTAATTTCTTCTTCTTGGAAAACCTGAAAACTAGTTCAACTTTCTGTTCTAACTACTTCTCACAGTTACTTACGTATAGTTCTCTAGTTCTTCTTGTCAGTGGTGTTTCTTTATTGCCCTTCTGATAGTTTTCTTTCCCTCCGTATTTCCTTCTTTATCTAATATCTATCTAGGGTCTCACTATGTATCGACAAGATAATGTATCCTATATCTCAACCCTAAAATGTATTCTGGATTTAGAGAATACAAAACGAAGTGTTGGGGGTTTATTTTATATAGCCAGGGTTTCAGCTTTTAAAGTAAAAATGTTAAAAATCCAATATTTTCCCTAGAATTTGAAAAACTAATTTACGACTATTAAAAAGTTTTAAAAGTTTGAGATAAAAAACTAAAAAGCTAAAAACCTAGATATATATTATTCTTCCGAATTTTCCTAATCTAATTTTTACCGACAAATCTAAAACTCTTTTCGAATTTTCCTTATTTGATCTATAAACTACTGCTTAGGGTTAAGTAGGTTCGGGTAGGTTTATGTAGATTCGGGTAGGTTCAGTTATGTTCAGGTAGGCTCAGGTAGGTTTTGGTAGATTCAGGAAGTTTTAGGTAGGTTCAGGAATGTTCAGGTAGGTTCAGGTAGGTTCAGGTAGGTTCAGGTAGGTTTAGGTAGGCTCTTGTAGGGTTAGGCAGGTTCAGGTAGGTTCAGGTAGGTTCAGGTAGGGTTAGGTAGGTTCAGGCGATAGTAAAATCAAAGATATTAAATGAAGGTATTCCAAAAATATTGTCAGTTAAAAGTTTCTAAAATTATATTTGATCTGAGATCAGAATATTTGTTTACAACACGAACTCTATTGTAGAGAAACTAATTCCACTTAATCTTTATTGGTCCTTATATACTCAGCCTAATCTTTACTCAAATCATTCAACAATAAAGAACTATCGACAATTTGAAAATAAAATCAGCAAGATATATTTCACAGTTTTAAGTTTGTTTATTCTTTAATGTTTGACATTTTTTTATCTTGCTACACAAAAAAATATACAGGCTCCTTCTTAAAGGATCCTCTCTTTTTCTAAAAATCGAAACTAACCTAATCTTGTATTTGTATACTGAAAAGTGTATAAAATTCAACCAATCAGAGTCGCATATATGAAGGCGATAAATTTGAAATTTTCATTTCCATTTCAGATTATATACAGAAACGGGAGGGACTCTCTCAATTAAAAAAACGGTTTTTGATTTTTCTCTACTATATACAAGAAAGTGCGGTTTCAGAAGAAAATCAAAAGTGTATCCATTGGATACTTAGATTAAGTAATTGGGAATAAGGATATCTCATTCTAAAGTTTTCAGCTCCGGTCCTATAACTCCATCTATAACTTTGATAATTGTCTGAATCTAGTCAAAAACGTCAAAAGCTGTATTTAAAGAAATTGGAATTTAACATTTCAAAGTTAAGTATATTTAATTCCATTTTTGATATTGACTTGGTCATTTTAGAAGGAATTTGAAGAGACTGTTTGCAATTATTAGAATGAATTATATCAGCGGCCAGAAAAATACAGATCTATTATATTTTAAACTAGGAATTCTATTTTGATTAATTAGCCTAAGTTTAAATATAAACGTGTTACATCATAAGATTGAAAACATATATGGTTTATAAAATCTGAGTTTGTGGCATAGAACTTTATTCCTTTAAATATTAAATATTAAATATTAAATAAATGATTTTAAATATTTTTTCTGAAGCAAAGTTTTTTTCTTCATAATATTAATTAGCCTACTTATAGAGTATTATGAACAAGTTTAACATAAAATTGCTAAACATTAACAATTTTGTTAATAATCCCTTTATCTTTTATCTGTTCACAATAAAGGAGAAAATTTGATGATTTTATATATTTATCCCCCCCTCTCATTCCTCCAGGGGGATTCTTTAATACCATTAATTGGACTAAAGATAGATTATCGTCTAACCCCCACCGCCCATNCACCGGACCTTCCGCTCTCCTCCTCCCCCGAGCAAATTAAAAATAATCTCTTTAAAATCCACATGACTTAGGTACGTTTTTAAAACAAAATCTATTTAAATGCAAAAACTATTAGACAAAAGGAGAAGATCAAATTTACTGCTACGACTATGTGTCTGATCTTAGCTCCTTTAGTTTTAATTTTATACAGAAATATGAGAAAATCAAATTTTTTACAGTTACAAATACTAATTCTGAACAGCTTTGTTTTTCTTAACAGATCTTCAAAAAGAGATGTTAGGATTGAAAACATTTAAGATTTCAATCTCACGCGACAATTTTCTTTAGTTTGACGTGAAAAGGTGTGGAAACGTTAAGTATAATTATATCACTTAAAATCTTTAAAAGTTTTTATATTTGTAAACCTCTCTCTTTAAGTATAAATTAGTGAAAACATGAAGGGTTAGAACAATATACTGAACATAAACTGAAAACAAGGTGGAAACTTAAACTTGGAAGATTGTTTTACTCTATACTGGCATCAGTGGGGTAGTATACTTTACTCTAATGGACGGTTTGGGAGGTTAAAAACTTCATACTAGGCAAGCTAGGCAAACTAAACAAGATGTTCTAGAAAAATTGAAGAAAAGAAAATAAGTCTTTGAAATTTTACTGACGATCTTAAAGTTTGAAAAATATCTTGTGAAAAATGATCTCACAAACTGCAAATGAATATACCAAAGAAGTAAAGCTCACCCAGCTGCAAGGCAAAACATTTTTAAGTATTGGTGGTCTGGTAGGTGACGTGGATTTGTACAGCGAGGTAGAGCAAGAAAAGTGCCGGGGTTTATCTTGTTAAAGACTGAACAAAACTAAGTTGCGAATTAAAAGTTTTATTGCTTTGACTTCAAAATATCTTCATACGTTAGAATGTTGATATTCATTGCTAACTTATCATTCTAAAATCCACAGAAAAACTTTCTCATCTCTGCATAATTCTAAAATTCTCTCAATTCCTACACCTCAGAATTTTTTCGCCAGTCATGCTCTCTCAACAGGATATTTTCAACCTTAAATTAAATTAATCTCTTTCCTCTAACATGGAACCCCTAATCTATCCTCTAACATGGAACCTAATCTTTCCGCTAACATGGAACCACTAATCTATCCTCTAACATTGAATCCCTAATCTATCCTCTAACATGAAACCCCTAATCTATCCTCTAACATGGAACCCCTAATCTATCCTCTAACATGGAACCCCTAATCTATCCTCTAACATGGAACCACTAATCTATCCTCTAACATGGAACCACTAATCTATCTTCTAACATGGAACCACTAATCTATCCTCTAACATGGAACCCCTAATCTATCCTCTAACATGGAACCCCTAATCTATCCTCTAACATGGAACCCCTAATCTATCTTCTAACATGGAACCACTAATCTATCCTCTCACATGGAATCCCTAATCTATCCTCTAACATGGAACCACTAATCTATCCTCTAACATGGAATCCCTAATCTATCCTCTAACATGGAACCACTAATCTATCCTCTAACATGAAACCACTAATCTATCCTCTAACATGGAACCCCATAGGCACTTTCATTTTAGAAATGAAACGAGCTTGTTTCAGCTAAAGTTGAAAAGAAGTACATGAAACCACTAATCTATCCTCTAACATGGAACCCCATAGGCACTTTCATTTTAGAAATGAAACGAGCTTGTTTCAGCTAAAGTTGAAAAGAAGTAATTGGCAAAATACTGCTCGATGTTTGTTTGTTTGAGTGTGCACATCTTGGTTTGCGGACAGGAATATTTAACCAATTCACCAACACCTAGGTTCAATGGTTCTCTTTTTATTTCCCGCTTCCCCTGGAACCATATTATCAAATCATTTCTATAATCTGTTCATATCAATGGTTTTGATGGTTGTGAATGATTGTACAAATTATTCGATTATAGGATTCCCTGAGATTATACAAGATGTCCCGGAAATTAAAATGATAAAAAAAGTCTTTGCTCAAATGCTATGATATTGTAGCATTCCAGTTCAAAATCGAATAATTAACAACGAAATAAATATTTCTTGGGATTTCTAAACTGTATTCTGCAATTGTTCTTCCTTTAAAATTGATCAATTATTAAGTAAAAAATCAAAGTTTTCAATATCTCGTTCCTCCGTTAAACTAAAGATATAAAAGAAGTTTTCCCTAAACGTTTGGAAACTCACATGAGACGATAAAAACCGATCTTAGCTTAATGTCGTCTAAATTCTCATGTTTATTGGGAAGCCCTGTATAATCCCTGGTCTATCCAAGACCTAGGATCAATATCATCCAACCATTAATAGTAATCTTCTCCTTTTTATCATTCTATAATATTTTTCCAATTCAGACAGAAAAGAATAAATTCAGTTTGTGAAAAATAAAAACTCAATAAAGTTCGGGTGATCTCTGTGTCCTGGAGTCTAACTAGCAACTTTTGTGAGGAGAGGGGGGGGGGGGGGGGGGGGGGGGAAGGGAGGGCGAATTCTTTTTGTGACTGTTTAGAGAGGGGGTAAAAGAGGGATTTTTTTCAAGTCTGGTTTTTGGGTTGAAAGTAAAAATAACAGAAGATTTTATGTTCAATTTACAACAATATTTTTATTCCTATAACTTATTATATTTATCATTAAAATTATATTTTGATATTATATGTGATTAAAAAAAGACAATACTTGAACAGCTGCGCGCAGATAATCGATTTTGCGGATTTTCATCAAAAAAAAAAAAAAAAAAAATCTGTCCCCAACTTCCAAGTTCTGATATATCATTTTAAAGATCCCCTTTCTGTCTCATAATCATTTGATTGACAACAGCGAGAATTTTACAATATTCATATTTAATATTCAGAAATGATGGAATAAATTACATATGAAACATATTACACAAACCGATTTATTATGGTACATAATGTAAACGTTAACTTTTTTAAGATCTAAAAAACTCTTTTGTAAAAAGTCCAATCCTTTAGTCTTCATTTACAAACACTGATTAACAGAAGAAGTATTTAATATTCACACCAGCCAACCTTTCTTATTGTTATGTCATCTTCAATAACTAATTATCCTCCCCCATCCCCCATCCCTTCCCTACTTCCTCATCAGCCCCCACCCCCTCTTCTATATCAGTCTGAATCTTTGATATCTAATCCAAGAGATCTTTAATTACCTTTCAAATAATTTATAAGAGAATATTACAAATATTAATGGAACCACTTAAATCTTTGTTTAAGAGCAAATAGATAAAGATATTCTTGAAAAGGAATACTGGTCGATTTTTGCTAATGTAAACAGATTTGATAAAGTAATTGAGTCTTTGCCACAAACTCTGAGTTCTTATTCCTAAATCTTTGCAATCAAATGTCATTAACCTTGGATATTTCAGACTATGAATTCTGGTAGATCAGGTAATCTAAGTTTTAAATATCAATGATTTACACCATCAGGTTGGAAATATTTAGAGATGAGATAATTTAAGTTTGTGGCAAAGACTCGATTCCTTTTCAAGATAAAAGACAAGGATATCTTTCTCATTTTTACTCAGATAACGGTTATTTGTAAATTTAAATCTAGGAGCCACTTGAAATTTCATCTACAGTCCCTGTAAGAAGTAAATATTTTTGTTTCTTCGTGACATTTCGTCTGTTTTATTTTGTTGTTTTATCTTTTTCTTTCACCCTATCGCTTAAATTTAGTATATTTTCCTCAGGAAGATGCAAATTACAATTTCAATGATCGAATCTCAAAAACTGAAATTGAATGATAGTTCAATTAATTATCTTATCATTTTCTTATGACTCTTTCATATTTATCATTGTTAGATTTTTGAACCATATAAGAAAGCAAACGATTTCAATAAGATGGAGGCCATGTATGTGTATTTTAACTAAAGAAAAAGAAAACGATAACAATAAGTATAGAAAGTGATCAATGTTAAAATAAAACCCGTCTTTTTCAATAATCTTTCAGTCTCTTAGAGAAATAAATTCTTATACTCTTTTAAAAAGAGCCTTCTGCTAATCTTGAAGAAAAAATATAAGATTTAAAAAATAGCGCAAAAACTAATTTTCGTATGAACTCCCCCCCCCCCCGTCCCGTCCATCCTCCAGACATAGAAAATAATGATATTAAGTCCTCAATCATAGATACATTTCCTTGCCAGAAAATCCCAAATTAAGTGATAAATAGAGGACAGATCTGAAATATATACATATAAAATATACAATACAAAGATATACAGGCTGGTTCAGAATATACGTATACATTGGGTGAAATATACATATTTATATATCTTATCTATTTATCTATCTGTAATATCATAGTTTAAAACCAAGCACGGGTAAACGTCGGGAGTATCTATGAGTAATATGGGCAACGCTGGAGGTTCCCAAGCTTTTTACGCATAGGACATTATACAGGGTGTGCCAGAAAACTAAAAAATACAGGGGTTTCTAAAATAAATGCTACCTGAGTGGGTTAGGAAACATAAGACACTTCTCCCGGAAACTTTCAAGTAAGGTTTCTCTAAACATTAAAAAGGATTATGATTATTTTTTAGCAACTCATTAAGAATTCTAAGTGTGTATTAAAGAGATGGGAACGTTCGGCTTTTTTAATTTCGTTCATTTATCGTTTGTGAACGACCTATTTTGTTCGTGTTTTTATTCAATCGTTCAAAAAAAATAATTTTGTTCGTTCTAAAATTTTCGTTCATTTTCCATCGATTTCGTTCGTTTTCTCACTGAATGATCGTTCAGTAAAAAATATGTTTTGTTCGCAAAAAAGATGCCCATTTCTAACTGTAAACAATCCCTTTAATAGAGGAAAAACTATAGCCTAGAGAAAGAGCATTAGAGACCAGTAATCAAGTTATAAATACTTTCATACATTTACTTAACACTTAAAGGTAAACATAACTTCTCTAAAAATCATTAAAAGTTGGATGTTTTTTTTATGCAGGGATACAAGAAACAGAATCTGGGGGAAGACGTCTGAAATATATAAAAAATATGCTAAAAAAAGATATTTCTAATACATTTTTCTATTTTAGTGTTTTCACCATAATTATCGCTTACAAATTCCAGAGATTTAAAACAATAAGTACGGATTTCAAACCGCAGATGTCAAATTGATATATTCATAAACCCGAATAGGAGTGGTGCAGTTACACCAATAGGAGTGATGCAGTTACACCAATGAACTGAGTTCTTGCCACAAACTCACTCTTTCCTATATCTTTGCAACAAAACAGTGGGATATTTCAAAGGAACGTAGTTCTTCTCACAAACCCTATTCTTGAATTCCTATATCTTTTCAAACCATTTGGCATTTAATCAAATAATATCAAGGGTTTACACTATCAGGTTGCAAAGATTAAAGGATTTGAAAATTTGAGTTTTCCACAAAACTCAGTTCCTTCAGACTAAAGTCTAATAGAATTTGCAGTTTAAAAAATCTAAGTTTTACAGCACAGGGTTGCAAAGACGTATGGATGTAAAAATCTGAGTTTATGACCAGAACCATTTGACTTCGTAGATTCTTTGGTATTGAAAACTAAGAAATATTAAAGGTTTTCAACATCAAAGTGCAAAGATAAAGGGATTGGAAAAATTGAGTTTGAGGCAAGTGTTCAGTTTCTTTACGCTATAAAAATATGGACTTTAATATTCATGATTTTAATAAAAGCTAGATCAACTTACATCTGACCTGAGAGTTATTTGTTTTTTAAACTTATAAATGGGCCGATTCGAAGTCAACCCAACAAAGTTTTGATGGATTCAATGTCTTCTAACTCTCAAAGATTTTGGCAATTGAAAGTACTAGTTTAACTCATTTAGTCCATTTACAAGTTTCATCTACAGATGAAGTGTTTAGGAAGACATAAAAAAAGCTTAGCAACCCTTAATCATTGCAGACCCAAAATACTTGATATTTGATACCTTGCAGTAGTATCCCGTATTATAACAGCACACAGAGCTTCTCCAATCACATCACTTTGTCTAAACTTCAGCTTAGTCGGTTTATCAGGAGTATCATACATATCATCACCATCTCCTGAAGCCTGAATAGATGGTTTATTAGGAGTATCATACATATCATCACCATCTCCTGAAGCCTGAATAGATGGTTAATCTGGAGTATCATACATATCATCACCATCTCCTGAAGCCTGAATAGATGGTTTATTAGGAGTATCATACATATCATCACCATCTCCTGAAGCCTGAATAGATGGTTAATCTGGAGTATCATACATATCATCACCATCTCCTGAACCCTGAATAGATGATTTATCAGGAGTATCAGACATATCATCCCCATCTCCTGAACCCTGAATAGATGGTTTATCAGGAGTATCATACATATCATCACCATCTCTTGAACCTTGAATAGATGATTTATCAGGAGTATCATACATATCATCACCATCTCTGTCGAACTCCTGAAGTCTAAATAGATGGTTTTGAATTTTTATATTCATATATATTTAAGAGTTAGTTTTCATTACTTCAATTATTACATTTTATAAGAGTATTTAAGGTAAAAAATTATTTTATTTTTAAATTAATATCGGTGTTAGTGGCCTTAACAACAGATTTTCCGTCACAGTATCGTACCTTAGTTATTACATGTTTTTGTAATACAATGTAATTTAGAATAATTTTTTAAAAAATGAATACATTTCTAAGACTAAATGTTGATATTGTTAATGTAACCATGGTTGCCAGGTAGCCTTGTAGAAGTCCACTTTTCACAAATGTAGCTTAATCAAATTTCAGAATGCCTTTTGCATTGGTTGCCTTAATTATTGGCCTAAAAGTAGCCTTTAGCCACCCCTTGAGAATTAGGAGTGCAAGAAGAGAGAGAAGGCGCCTTCTAGCCATTTATAATTTTAATTTTCAAGAATAGATTCAAAGATTTTTGGCCTGCGATATTCACATTATATCTCAAAATTAAATTTTTCATTCAAATCCAAATCTTGGTAACTCACCTTCCCCCTTCCAACTTGATTTTATCATAAAAATTACCAAAAGCCCTGTAAAAACTTCCAGGAGGGGGATAAAACATTATAATCCGCCCCTGCTTAAGCTTCTCATAACCTTATGGTTCTAAGAATCAAGTTTAAGCAGATTAGTCAACCAAAAAAAATTCGAAAAATTCTAGTAAAGCTTTAATATTAAATTCTTTAACATAACTGACTAAAAAGAGCTTATTTTCTTATAAAATGAGTGATAAATTAGCATAAACCAAGGTATATCAAGTGAAAATTCCAGCATAAAAAAGTAGCCTAGAGAGGACTGAAAGTATCCTAGAGAGGACTGAAAGTAGCCTAGAGAGGACTGAAAGTAGCCTAGAGAGGACTGAAAGTATCCTAGAGAGGACTGAAAGTATCCTAGAGAGGACTGAAAGTAGCCTAGAGAGGACTGAAAGTAGCCTAGAGAGGACTGAAAGTAGCCTAGAGAGGACTGAAAGTAACGGGTATCATCCTAAAAGAACGAGACTTTAAAGACGACCTGTGGCCGAATTTAAAGAATTTGAGCCGCGGCTTAAATATGGTTTGTTTATTTATATTAAATTTTTCAAGATTTAAGCCGGCGGTCAATTAAAACCGCTTTTTGGGGGATTTGAGACGTGGCTTAAATTCATCAAATTCGGACATTGGAAGGTTTATATTTTCAACCATTGCATTCTACGCTAGGCATGCTGCACTTCTTCTAAAAGCTGTATATTACTTTAATCTTTAACTTTATAATGATTAATCTGAGATGAACATGAAACTTTTCAATAAACGGAATTTTTTAAAATCTGATAAATGACTTTAACTAATTCTTCAAAGGTTTAATAAGGTTTGGCCAGTGAAAAACCGGTAAACTCCTTATAAAATCAATAAAAGTTTGTTTCATCCTAAACCAAGTTATATGGCAGAGCTAGATTATTCATTAAAAAAACAGGAGTGTAAAGACGACTTATTTTTTATATGAATGGTTCAATACAAGCGCCAATAAGAAAACGGTAAACTACTTGTAAAAACAGTTTAAGTTAGTTCCGGTCATCCAAAAGTTCTAGACTTCGAGAAAACCTGTTCTCCAAGCCCTCTGAATATCAAAGTATAATTAAATGCAGCATCTGACGTTTCCAATTAGTAATCCATTCCAATTATTGAGAGTGTGTCGATTCGAATCATCTGCCAGGTTCTAAGTAAATAGATTAATGTAAAAAATAGATCTTCAGATTCGATTGAGAAATAATCATCATACGTTCTCTATTCATCTAGCTCCTTCTGTACCTGGAAGGTGGAGCTCCTAGCTCCTGTACCTGTTAGGTGTATATATTTGTCAGATATTCTAGCTCCTGTTACTGGTAAAGCGGATATATCTGTTGGATATCCTAGTTTCTATACCTGGTAGGTGGATATTTCTGTTGGATATTCTAGCTCCTGTACCTGGAAGGTGGATATCCTTCTCCTGTACCTGGTAGGTGGATATACCTGTTGGATATTCTAGCTTCTGTACCTGGAAGGTGGATATCTTAGCTCCTATACCTGGTAAGTGGATATATCTGTTGGATATTCTAGCTCCTGTGCCTGGAAGGTGAATATCCTAGCTCCTGTACTTAGTAGGTGGATATATCTGTTGGATATTCTGGTTCCTGTTCCTGGTAAAGCGGATATATCTGTTGGATATCCTAGCTTCTTTGTGGGTGGATATTTTAGCTCCTAAACCGGTAGGTGAATATATCTGTTTATGTCTATTTGATATCCTAGCTCCTGTACCTGAGAGGTGAATATCCTAGATCCTGCACCTGTTAGGTGGATATTTCTGTTGAATATCCCAGCTCTTGTACCTGGTAGGTGGATATATCTGTTGGATATCCTAGCTCCTGTAAACTCTCTGTAATCTGTTCATCTAGAAGAGTTCGCATCTCCGCCATCAACTCTTCACGTTTATTTGGAGGAAACTGAGGAGGACGAATAAGCTCAGGGGCAAACTAAACAAATCATTTCAGGCGCAAATCAGTTTAGGGGAAACTAAACAAATCAGTTTATGGGCAAACTAAACAAATCGTTTATGGGCAAACTAAACAAATCACCTCAGGGGCAATCTAAGCAGTACAGTTCAAGAGTGAACTAAACAAATCAGTTCATGGGTGAAATAATTAAATCAGTACAGCTGAGGGGCAAACTACACAAATCAGTTTAGGGGCAAACTGAACAAATTAGTTCAAAAGCAAATTAAACTAATCAGCTCGTGGGCAAACTAAACCAATCAGCTCCGGGGCAAACTAAACAAACAGTTCAGGGGCAAACTAAACAAATCGGTTCAGGGGCAAGCTAAACAAATCAGTTCAGGGGCAAACTAAACAAATCGGTTCAGGGACAAACTAAACAAATCAGTTCAGGGGCAAACTAAACAAATCAGTTCAGGGGCAAACTAAACAAATCAGTTCAGGGGCAAACTAAACAAATCAGTTCAGGGGCAAACTAAACAAATCAGTTCAGGGGCAAACTAAACAAATCAGTTCAGGGGCAAACTAAACAAATCAGTTCAGGGGCAAACTAAACAAATCAGTTCAGGGGCAAACTAAACAANCCCCCCCCATCCCTGTCAAAATATTTGTTGCCAGATCTAGGCTGAAGGCCTGGGCTGCATTAAAGCACGAGGGATGTGAGAAACCTGGTGCAAAGAAAAGTGCACTACGGAGAATAAAACCTTTATTTAATATATATACAATATAACTGGTAGGATGAGAGAATATCTTGAATTGATTTTGACAGAAGAAGATTGGGAAGAATATAATGAGATAAAACGGATGCATACAATATTAAGAACTAAAGGAAGATATGAATGTTTAAGAATGATGAAAGACTATCTATCTTGAAATAGAACTTTATTCATTACTAAGCAAAGGAAAACCGCAAAGGAATAAAAATTTCTAAAATATCAGAGTAGTTTAGATATTCAATATTCATATTTACGTACTGTAAAAAATCCTGTTGAATTGAAATACATAATGTCGTTAACATCTTTGTGTGGATACGAAATTTTGTCCAGAAAAAGAAAGTTGGTGAGGTTTGCAAACATATCGAGAATATTGAACTAAAAGAGCCTGTCGACTATATTTCAAGTAACCCACTATTTAAAAAGTGAACAAGCGCTTCCAAATCGCCATCTTCGTTTAAGCAAAAATAATGAATATCCTAGTTTTTCTATCTTAAAATAGAAAATTTTGAACTTTGGTTTTCTTCTGATTTAATGACTTGCATCAGACAAAAAGTGTAGCATATTAAATATGAGTAACCTGGGAAGAGCTGGGTTCCCAAGCTAGTATATATATATATATATATATTAGAAGTCGCTTGAAATTACGTGTACAATATAAAGTATCTCGTGTATGAATAATTATTTACAACTTCTGTACAAGGAAGTTAAGGGAATTTTACTTCATAAACGGTTCCTAAGACCAATTTTGCATACAAAACATCCAGAGCGCAGCGAGGGATGTTTTTTTAAGCAGAATTGGTCTTACACAATTTTATCGTCTTTTAAGATTAAAATGCGTGATTTAAAACTCCCTAAAGTGGCTGGTTATTTTACAAAGCTGTCCCAAGGGAGTAAGGACGTTATTTAACTTTACCTCCCCCCTGTTGGGAAAATCGTAGGTCAGTAATGTTGGTCAAAATATCTAACCTCATGGTGTGGGAAATGAACCTTTGTATAATCCTGTCCAAGGAGTTCAAAAACAGCTTGCTGACGATATTTATTTGTAAATTCACCACGCATCCTATGCGCTAACGTTTTGTTTATCTAAAAATAATTTTGGAAAATAAAAATAGTTTTTGAAATTTTGCTTTATTTGGAATAGCATTGTATTTTGGGGGATTGATGAAGGGCTTTTAAAAAATATGATTGCATTGTTTTTAATTTTTGACACTTAAAAATATTTTTATATTGATTTTGAAAATTTCAAGATAAAACAATATTTTTTTCAGTATTTCAGTGGAGTACAAAATAGCATTAATCGTGTCAGTACAGTTAAGACACAGAATAATAGAATAAATACCTCTGTTAAGAATTTGTCTATTTTGCCGTCCGCCAAATTTATCTGTTCTGCTGTACTATTCAACCAGTCTAATTATAATTGAACTATAGATTTATCTGTTCTGCTGTACTATTCAACCAGTCTAATTATAATTGAACTATAGATTTATCTGTTCTGCTGTACTATTCAACCAGTCTAATTATAATTGAACTATAGATTTATCTGTTCTGCTGTACTATTCAACCAGTCTAATTATAATTGAACTATAGATTTATTTGCTCTGCTGTACTATTCAACCAGTCTAATCATAATTGAACTATAGATTTATTTGCTCTGCTGTACTATTCAACCAGTCTAATTATATTTGAACTATAGATTTATCTGTTCTGCTGTACTATTCAACCAGTCTAATTGTAAATTGTAATTGAATTATAGATGTATCTGTTCTGCTGTACTATTCAACCAGTCTAATTATAATTGAAGTATAGATTTATCTGTTCTGCTGTACTATTCAACCAGTCTAATTATAATTGAAGTATAGATTTATCTGCTCTGCTGTACTATTCAACCAGTCTAAACTAGAGATTTATTAGTTATAATGATAAACCTCTCTGCAGGTATTATATTGACTTCTTTGCAGTAATGATCAACCAGTCTAAAACTAACAGAACTATAAATACTGGTCACCACTCCAGTCTAAAAGTTGCATGATCCGAGCTGGTAGGACATGTACTGCTAAGAGTGTATATGCATTCAGTCGGTACTGTCCAGTAAGACTACACTGTGTATAATCGACCCAGCACATTTTTTGCAACAAATATCAGTTTCCCGTTTACTTTGCTGTTTAACAAGTCTAAACAGAAATAAAAACTATTTTGAAGTATTCTACCAACCCTTTCTTCTCAAACCTTTGATTAATTTGTAAACTATAAACTTTATAATTCGACTTTTAATTAAAAACTTCTTAAACCTCAAATCTTTCATAACTTTCACATATTAATTAAAAAACATTTTATTTCTTCATATAGTTTGCTCCGAAAAAAACAGCTAAATACACACTTCACATAGATCCGGACTGTCATGAAAAGTTACTTAGATTTTCAAGAATGTGTCAACTTTAAAGTGTCGCAACGCCTTGGGCTCAATTTGACAGTTTATTTAAGATTGTTTTAGAAGTAATTAGCAAAATTCTCATTTGACTTTTGCGTGAAAACGTATGCAACCTTTAGATCGCTGATACTGTGTACTGTATTCTTTTAATCTTTGATATACGCAGTATTTAATCCTGAACCTGACAGTTGAAATAATATATTAAAAACAAAACTATTGTTTCAAAAGTAAATTATTTTCAAAAATTAGCTTTTTGAATTCTAATTCAAAATGTTAACATTCATAGTGTAAAACGGGTTGTTATGAATAAAAAAACTGTTACAGACGATGGAACAGTAAAGATCTGCACCAGAGGCGTATTCAGGGGGGGCTATGGGGGCTAAGGCTCTCCCCTGGACCAACGAAATCTATTGATTTCAGGGGGTTTTCAGGCCCCAACGGGCGCTGAGCCCCACCCTCCTGGGAAGAGAAAAAAATTTTAGCCCCCCCCCATGGACAAATTCCTGAATACGCCCCTGATCTGCACATTGCTTTATTACGTTTTTACATCGGTTTTTGGCTTTCAGGGGACTACATAATCTGACATATTTATTCCCAATATTATGCTCATAAGATTGCATTTATTTCTTTTTGCTAAATATTTAGATAAAAGAGCTGGAAAAAAAGAAAAAAACTAAATATTTTTTAAATCGTCGTTAAGTTTGTATCATCAAAAGTATATATAACTCAACCATCGAGTGGAGTTTGAGAAACAATGCAAACACCCAATCAGAGAAGCCGGAAAATTTGAAATTTTGCGCGCCTTTTAATGAGTGAACTCTCATTGGTCGAAAACATCTAGAGATAGAAAAAGAGCGGATTAAGAAGGAAATTAAAAGTGTCCACATTGGATGTTCAGATTAAGCTATCGGGATTAAGGGTATCTGATTCTAAAGTTTTCAGCTCAGCTCAGATTTTTTAGAATTTTCTTTGATCCTTAAAAACAGATAAGTAGCTCGGTCAAAGTTCATGAAAACCTTATCATCTTTAAGGTTATCTTTAAAATCATTTTTAAAAGTTCTCACCCAGGTCAAATAGTGGAGCATTCTCATCCGTGATCATTATTTCAGGAACCATGGCTATGGTAGAAAATTTCATTTAATTCTGAAATTTTTTTTTCGAATTGAAAATGTTTATTATTTAAATCTTTCAATTTATAGTGGATATGATGCATTGTTTGAAATATTGGTTTTCCTTTAATTATAAGGAAATTACGTATTCAAGTCATTTTGCAAACAGTCTTTTAAAATATTTTGGTTTTAATGTTTCGTAATTGTATAAAGCATCCGTTCTAAGCTAAATCAAGTCAAGTCAATTTAAGGCTTTCTTTCTTCAAGTCTAAAAAAAACTATTCTTAGAATAATCTTTTTCTCCTGTTTCTTCAAATTATTGCATCAGCTGTTTATTTTGGGTTTATTAGAAATATTAGACGTTTAAAAATAAAAATAAATTGAATACAATCCCTATTTTACCAGGGGCTTGTGCCGAGAGAGGGGTGGTGCTTTGAGAGTGAAAACTATAGTTTTTATGAGGTTCTACCGCTAACGGGGCTTAACGAATTTAGATAATTTGAGCCGAGGCTTAAATTTAAGCCGCGGCTCAAATATGGTTGGTTCCACTTAAAATCGCATTCAATTCAGTGTTTCATGATTTAAGCCAGCGCTCAATTGAAAACGGGTTTTGGGGGATTTAAAACGCGACTTAATTAAATTCGGACTCTGAGTCTAAATCTAAAGAACGAAAAGTTTTGACTTAAATTTTAAGTTCATGGTTAAATGCCACTTCTGACTTAATTTAAACCTGAACTTTAACCGTTATGTTAAATATTTAACCCTGTGATTAAATATTTAACTCGCCGAAATCAACGAGATAAAATTTAAGCACAGGGTTAAAATCGTGAAATCCCGCAATCCCTGTTTGTCTATCATCATTCAGCTGAGTAAGCGGCATTCAACTATAATTACGATATATTCAAAAATAAAAACCTTGATTTAATAAATTTCACGCTTTAGATTAATTAATGTTTACACATAAACCCAAAATACGGTTGTAACTGGAAATATGTTTTGTTTTCCGTCACGTAAATAATTTAAAATTTAAAAAACAGCTGATTACCGATAGTTACGTAATAATTCTCCGTAAATCCTTTTCTCTGATTGGTTCAGATTTTTCCCGGAAAATTCACATTTTAAATTAAGAAAGTTTAATATTTAAGTATCTACTCATTATTTTACAGAACTTTTAACCTCGAACTTAAAATTCGCGCATTCTTTAGTTTTAGACTCTGAAATATTTGAAATCTTTTATTATTCTCCTTCGGTTTTGACGCTGGTGAATAAGTAAGTATTCCGGTTTACTGATTCTGAATCTAGAATCTAGAATATGGACCGTACAGGGGGAACCACAAAAAATGACACTTTTACGCAAACTTGGAAATTGTAAGTACTAAGATCTAAAGGTTGAAATAATTCAATTGTATAAAAAATAATCGCATGAACGCTTATTATGATAGAGCACTGTAAAAATGAATGAATGTACTTTACAGTGTACCGGTAAAGTGAACCATAAATTTAAGAAATATTTCTAAAAAGAATTAGTACAGTCGTCTCTAAAATCTATTCCTTTATGGGTAACCCTGTAGAGTGCATTATGCATTATGCATTGTGCACTTTGAATATACATATAGTTAGAAATCTGGGAACTTGTAAACTGCCTCTGTTTATTCTTCAGCAAACAGGAGGTAGGAAACAGGAGATAGGAATGATGAGGTAAGAGACAGGTTACAGGAGGTAGGAAACAAGAGGTAGGAAGCATGAAGTAAGAAACATGAGATAAAAAAACAAGAGGCAGGAAATAGGAGTTAGGAAACAGGAGGTAGGAAAAAGGAGGTAGAAAAAGGAGGTAGGAAACAGGAGGTGGGAATCAGGAGGTAGAAAACAGGAAATCTTTTTATTTGGAGGAATGAATCCCAAAAATTGGTAAAAATTATATTCAAATAAGTAATTAAAAATACTTACTAGAATTAGAGGACAACACACAGAAAATAATAATCCAGAAAGCAAAAAATAAGGATTTTTGAAAAGCCATAAAGATAAAAAAGAGACTTGAAACAGGGTTAAAGGGACAAGGATTACAGTAAAGAAGTTTAGTGAACAGGAGAATTGGAACAAGGACTGTAGTGAACAGGAGATAAGTAACAAGGAGTCCATTGAACAGTAGAATTGAAAAAAGGACTGTAGTGAACAGGAGATAAGCAACAAGGACTCTATTGAACAGGAGATAAGAAACAAGGAGTATAGTGAACAGGAGATAAGGAACAAGGAGTCCAGTGAACAGGAAAATTGGAACAAGGACTGTAGAGAGCAGGAGATAAGGAACAAGGAGTCTATTGAACATGAGATAAGAAGAAAGGAGTATAGTGAACAGGAGATAAGGAACAAGGAGTCCAGTGAACAGGAGATAAGGAACAAGGAGTCTAGTGAACCGGAGACAAGGAACAAAGAGTCTTGTAAACAGGAAATAAGAAACAAGGAGTCAAATAAACAGGAGATAAGGAACAAGAAGTCCAGTGAACAGGAGATATTAAACAATGAGTGTAGTAAACAGGAGATAAGGAACAAGGAGTCTAGTGAACAGGAGACAAGGAACAAAGAGTCTAGTGAACAGGAAATAAGAAAAAAGAGTCTAATAAACAGGAGACAAGGAAAAACGAGTCTAGTGAACAGGAAATATAGAACAAAGAGTCTAGTGAACTGGAAATAAGGCACAAAGAGTCTAGTGAACAGGAAAGAAGGAACAAGTAGTCTAGTGATCAGGAGACAAGGAACAAAGAGTCTAGAGAACAGGAAATAAGGAACAAAGAGTCTGGTGAACAGGAATAAATGAGATTAGAAAACAGTAATCCTCTCCCCCATGTAAACTCCATCTCTAGAGTTCCCCTGGGACAACTTTAGATTGCTTGACTGACAATAATAATTAATGAGCAATCTAAACTAGAAATCTAAACTAGAAATCTAAACTAGAAATCTAAACTAGAAATCTAAGCTAGAAATCTAAACTAGAAATCTAAACCAGAAATCTAAACTAAAAATCTAAACTAGAAATCCAAACTAGAAATCTAAATTAGAAATAAAAAAAGACTGGACTCGAATTTTTGAATATTTGCCTAAAACTAAGGAAGTACTGTACTATGACTTGAAATTAGGACATTATGCTGTGCACACTACATAAAGCAAAATAAAATTTAGAAGTACTAAACATTATAGAAAAACTTTCCACATTTTCACCCTTTCTTTAACATTCAAAGTTTAAATACTTTTTGCCAGATATTCCTGTATTAAAGAATAGTGCTTTACTATAAACCACTATTGGTACCGGCCTGGCCTATTCACACAACCTTGTTTAAGGTGAAGTATACACTTAGTACTGATTTCAAGATTCATTTCTAATTTAATGATGAGATAAATAGATAGATAGATAGATAGATAGATAGATTGTGCACCTGAAGCAATTTCAAGTTTGATTGTTTGGCATTTTATTTCTGTCAATTCAGGCATCTTTGGCAGTGTAATTGAAGATATTACACCAAATATTAGAAATCCCTGTGGAGCCCATTTTGAAAATATTCTATTTAACCGTTGTTCACTAGATTAGACTTAGTAAAGGCTTTTGACTAAAAAAGTTTTTTGGAGCTTTTAGTGAAATCTAAAATATTTAAAGGTTGTTTTGTTAACTATAATCATCATGTGATATACTGGTAATGAAGGATTACCAAGATGGAAGTAAATAACCCAAAAAGCCAGAATTGACAGAAATAAAATGCCAAACCATGAAACCTGAAATTGCTCCAGGTGTTTAAAGACATGTCAAAATCAAACTACTCTGACCGAATATAAAGTAGTATAGGACACAACACTTATTTTGCAATAATCTGCACTGCTCTGACCGAATATAAAGTATAACTATAGGACACAACACTTATTTTGCAGTGTTATTATTTCAGGTTAAAAACTAGTAAACTGTATGCATATACTTTATGCAAAATGCATAAATATTTTAAAGTGCATCGGAAAAATAATTCTTGAACCTTCTCAGATTTTTTTGTACTTTTTAAAAGTGGAAAAAAGTTTTTTAATAAGTTACTGCCTATTTCACTTGTCAAGTGGGTTACTGTGTTTCTATGATTTCTGGCTCTCTATTTAAGTTAATAATGGCGTGTAGGTACCAACATACTGGACACTGGTTAATCAAACTTATTTTAAGAAAGCCATTGTATTATTGTCGCTAGGAAACAGTTGGGGGTCATACCCATTGCAGTTTATATAAAGAAAACAGTTGGAGACTTTACCTCTACATATGTATAAAACTAATAAAACAGTTTGGAACCAGAGTAGAACTGTATGGGGATTTACCTCTAAACCTTATATGAAGCTAATAATAGAACCATTGCAAGGGGACGTAACTCTAAAGTTTAAATTAAGATTAAAGTATAACAGTTAGGGACCATACCTACACATTTATATAAAGCTGATAATAGAACAGTTTGGGACCATACTTCTACACTTTACATAAAGTTAATAGTAGAACATTTGAGAACCTCACCTATATATCTAAAAGTAGAACATTTGGGGACCACATCTCTACACTTTACATAAAGTTAATAGTAGAACATTTGAGAACCCCACCTATATATCTAAAAGTAGAACAGTTGGGACCACACTTTTAAACTTCATATAAATCTAAAAGTAGAACAGTTGGGCCCACACCTCTAAACTTTATATAAATCTAAAAGTAGAACTTTAATGAAAGCGAATAGTAGAACAGTTGGAGACCTTACCTCTTCACTTTAATGAAAGTGAATAGTAGAACAGTTGGGGACCATCTAAATTTTATACAAAGTAAATAATGGAACAGTCAGGATATTACTTCTTATCTTTATATAAAGCTAAAAATAGAACAATTTTACAAACAAATTACTAAAAATTACAAACTAAAAAATCAACAAAATAACCAAAAAATAAGTAATCCCTTCATTATTTTGCCAGTTTGACTTTGAATCGATGAATAGGTGCGAGGATGAATGGATGAATAGATGAATAGATGAATAGGTGAATAGATAAATAGATGAATAGATAAATAGATGAATAGATGAATATATTAAGTACCTTTCTTCTGTCATTAATTATTTCTCATTAGTTCATTTATCTTTGCATTAGAACTGCAACCAGCTGGACCTGTGCCCTGTTTAATCATATAAGAAGAAGAAGAAGGAGAAGAATTGAAAGAAAAAGATCCCTTGTGTTTCTTGGCTCCAACTATACCTGAGATAATATAAATTGAGATAAAGATAAGAATGAATCTTCTATTTGCATTTTCAAATATTTTCGAGACACCCTGTAGTTGTACCAATCAGAAGATAGTATGTGTACGACACCCTGTAGTTGTACCAATCAGAAGATAGTATGTGTAAGACACCCTGTAGTTGTACCAATCAGAAGATAATAAGCGTAATACCCCCTGTTGAAGTACCAGTCATCAATATATTCTCAACATATCACGCTGTAAATTATTCAAAACTGGAGTTGGAACGTTTTAAAACCTTTCTGCTTCCATCAGTTGTCCCCGCTTGGTCCCAAACTAATCCTTTCTAATAAATTGAACCCTCCCAGATTGATTCCAGGATGCTTACTAAGCTCCTGGTTTTATCTGGAACCTTTTCAAATTAGTTTGGTCCGTATTTTTAAATCTATATAACTAGACTTTTAGGATCAGGCTTAGCGCCCCTTTTCTTGCAATTGGTTTATTTAAAAATGATAAATATTGACACTTTTTCCACAGAAAATTTGTCAAATTTGTTCGTCCTTAAACCTTTCCTGGGCCGGGTCATGTGAATTCACACACACAAATTGGGCCCGCTCAGTTCAACTGTTTGGCGTTTATTAAATACAAACTGACAGGCAGACAGAAGACCTTAATATGTATATGGATGACAAAGAAAAAATATATTAATTTTTTAAATACGCGAATACTAATTTTTAAAAGACTCAATTCACTTTTTTACATAAACCACAAGCGCAGCCCTACATGAGGAAGAAGGTGTCAGGTACGCATCACCAGGGAAAAGAAAACAAATCCAGTCGGAACCTACTTCTTAGAGAAGGAACATACTTGGCCCTACAACTAACATCAGAATAGGACCAATGAAATGTCAGAACCATGTTTGAAACACCAAAACAGCACAAGTGACGAATGAGATGGAGGAATACAGGATTGGAATTCTGGATATCAGTGAGAGTAAAAGAAAGAATAAGAACAAGACAAGGCCACACAACGCTGTTTTCACTGAATTGATGAGACGCGGATAAGTGAGTAAGTTAGATTCTGTTTAAATTATATCACAAAAGGATCTAATTTCATTTATTTAAACAAACTGAGTGAGGTTCTCAGATATTTTTCAACGATGTAAATCAGGTTTAAATCTTATTTAAAATACTTTTGTATTCTTGTAGAGCTTTTAAACAATAAAAAATTCTTTGAATTTTTAAAAATTTGCGAATTTTGGAGTGTGGTCTGCTTACACAACCCATATTAATGTAAAAGTTAAAAAGTTATTCAGTATTTGCCATAAACTCGAATCACTATATCTTTGCAAACCAATGTCGTAGACCTTAGATATGTCAAACTAAGTTTGAAATATAAAAGGGTTATTCCATCAGGTTTAAAAGATATAGGAATTCGAAAACTTGAGTTTGTGGCAAAGTCTCAGTTTCTTTGTGGTCCAGTTTTATTTAATCTTTTTTATTTTATTATTTTTATTTTATTTCTTTTATTTTACTTTATTTATTTATTTTATTTTATTTTTCAAATATGTAAATTGGGAATAAATCTTGCATTTCCTAAAAAAGGCTGGTTTTATGATTTTTTATATTCATCTTGAAAAACAGGTTAATAAATCTCGCCCATTTTCAATGGCACTTTCATACCGAGCAAGAAATTGAGTGCTTGCCACAAACTAAAATTTTCTAATTTCTATAACTTTTCGACCTGATTGTGTAATCCTTTTGATATTTCAACCTGTGACTATTCGATTTTATCGGAATTCATGCGACATCGGGTAGCAGAGATATAGGAAATACAAAAATGAAGTTGTTACAAGAACTCCGTTCCAAATTTGTATCCAAATAAAATTTTTCAAATTAAATATCTAGGGCATTCCTACCTTCTAAACAGTCGATCATTATACCTAACTTATTCTTTCTAAACAGACAAAATATATCCTTTTTGGCTTGAACTAAGACTGTAAGAAAAAGACGGAGTAAATTCAGTCCAGTCGACTCTGAAGTAAAGGTAACAATGATTTTAGTGTGTATGTAAGACATTTAAGTAATTTTTCCCTCTAGATTTAATAAAATGATAATTTACCTCAAAATTTAAATAAAAAATTAACACAATCTATCAGTTTCTCATTTAAGTTTTAATGAGATATTTTCCACGCAGGAGCAGACTGCGTATAATTTTTGTATTTTCTCTTTAGAATAAAAATAATTGAAAGTTGAAACTCTTTATAATAGATTCATTCGGAAACCCTTTCGGCAGGTTCCTCGTTAAACACTCCTTTTATCCGAATAGGTTAAAAAGATCCTATTTTAAATAAAACCACAACCCTGGCGAATTTGCAGATTTTTATCCAAAAAAAACAACGTTACCTTTTATATATATATATACTTTGCCGGTCTGTTTTTTTGTATCCAATAAACGTAAAA